AGGGCCACCTACACACCCCAGGGAAGACTCAACAGAGGTCGAAATACCGCTGGTGTTAGGCCTAGCCTTAGCCCTCGCCCCACCCCTACCCCTCCTACCCGACTTACCTGCACGCCCTCGCGGGCGGGGAGAACCACCGGCAGGAGTCGGCTGTCAGGCACGGCAAATGTCACACGGCTGCACCAGAGAGCAAGACCGACAGCTAGGACAGTAAGGGTGGGGGTCGGAAGCCTCAAATAAATGACCCCAAGGACAGCGCCTTTGAGAAGGAGGAGTCTCCATCTCAAAGTAAACAAACCGTCAAACGCGAATACGTGGCCGGAACCTGGTCGCAAAACGGCGCAAAATAAAGCAAAACGCTAAATTAAAACAAAATAAAGTAATATAGTATTAAAGGATACAATATATATCGGTACAAACAACGCCAGTAGCAGTTGGAACCCCGTAGAAGAAACCAAAACACGTCCGTAAACACGGAAGGCTGAAGGAATTGTGAAGTGGGAAGCATGGCTTCGTGTCTGATCACGTACGTAAATACTGCCGTCTGATTGGTGGGTTTTCCAACGGTTCCCCATGGGGGGGGGGGGGGGGGGGGGATTCTTTAATTACGTCTGTAAAGAGCCGAGTAAGGTTGGAATATGCATTATAATGACTGTGGTAACGAATTTTGAAATAGAAATCGTAAATAGAAAGTAGAATCTTTGACACTCTCCTGTAGGTTACATAAAGTCTTCTGTTACTCTTCTCCAAATAATAATCCATACTTTAAATAATTGCTGAAAACAAAATGTTTATCTCCGGTGCATTCTACGAGTGTTGTGGTGGTGAAATTCGTGCACTGGGTTTGAGCGTTTTAGCAACTCGAATTGAGGTGTGAGGAGGTTTACGCGTGTGAAACACATATGATTCGAGAAAGCACATGTGAAGCACTGTCGCTGTCTGTAGAAGGAAGAAATATATATATATACTTATAACCGTATGAGTGATGAAGTATAACCTTGATTTTGATGTTTCAAACGGGAACGTAATATGACATATCGTGCTTACGTTGATAACGGTAATGGCTCTGAGACGAGACAATATGTGAACAGTGTATGCTTATCAAAGATTTCTGTAACATAGCATGCTTTTTCTGGTGTATTTATTTATGAAAATTTAACAATTTAAGAACATGACACAACAGCCGCTGCTGTTTGACAAGAATTCGCGCCGTGTCAACATATTATCCAGTCCAGTGTAAGGGAAATAACTCTTACGTTGGTAAAGTCGCATTGAGAAATATAATTCAAATATATTCCAAGAACATTAGTGAGATTTTTTATATTCAATGACGTTAAATAAAGTCACAATATATATTAATAATAAATGATAATATTAATGAATAAAAAATAAATAACAATAAAAGGAGTACGTCACTTTTCTCCATGCATGTTTTCCCACTACTGTTTATTATCCTTCATTTCACAAGCACAAAATGCACCTATTCTTTATCATCCATCACCGATTGCCATTGTGCACGTAAATGCTCATGTCACATCATCGAAGGATGCTGATTATTGAAAATTACAACAATGCGTCACACTTAAAGAGGGTGAAAAAAGAGGAGAGGGAGATTGTTTTAAGGCATCATTTGAGAGGTGATAGATTTTGGAAATTCCAAAGGCAACATCATCACATGACCTGATTTTCAATTAGCAGTATACAAAACACATATCTGAGGTATTATAGTAAATATTGATGCTCAACGTGTTACTGAAGCAATTAAATTTAAAGTGGTGAGCGGCTTTAATGTCACACTGACATAATTCTAGTTTCAAGATTGTTGTGGTATATTTCTATAAGCTGGTGTACGGTAGAATGACCTGGTTGAAAACCTGACTGATACTTATATATAAGAGAATTCTCTAAAAAGTAGTTATGTAAATATTTAGCAACCAATCTTTCAAAAACCTTACCAATAGTACTTAGCAATGCAATAGGTCTATAATTTGAAGGATCTTGTTTATCTTCTTTTTTTTTTAAATGGCATCACTAGAGCTAGCTTCCATTGTCTGGGGAAAGACCCAGTCTCCAAAGAAGAACGAAAGATTAAAGATAGCCGCTAAGCAACTGTATAAGCGGTGTTTTTTTAACATATTATGACTAATTGTATCATTTCCTACAGCTTTATCAAATTTTCAAGTTTTGAGTATGTCAATAATGTCATTAAATTTTAAAGGGTATGTCTGAGATAGTCGAGTCTGTTCTGGATTCTATAACAGGTACGTCTGTGTCAGTATCGTCGATAGTAGAAATAGAAACAAAGTAGTCATTAAGTATGTTAGTCTTTATGTCGTCATCCATGTCTATGTTTCCAGTCGCACTCCGTAATGGCGGTATACTACCAGACGTTTGAGATGATTTTATTATTTTTATGGTTCGAGACCGATAAGTTTAACTAGAATTGTATTAGGCTAGGTCGGCAGTGTTTTGTTATCTGGCTATTGACTAGGCTGTAAGTAATGAACATATTATGTATTAACGCCCCTGGGCCTCTTGTTTCTTTTGTTATATCCGACATCGTCGAGCTACAGTACGGTATGGACACAATATAAACGAACCAGTTTGGTCAGTCGGGTCTTCGGCCTTTTGAAGTGGTACATTGTATATGCAATATTAACTACAGCGTTAACGGATACATAACCTTCGGATTGACACGGACAAACAAAAAGGTAACAATGTCGGCTGAAGAGTGAAGCAAAGTCGGGGAAAACACTTTAATATTATGAATAAGCTTTCCGGTAAGTTCGTCCAATTCTAACTCGGGGATCTTTAGACATCAGTCCATCCGCCCTGTATACATATAATCGATAATTTCAATGCTGTGTGTCGAGTAATATAAGCACTGGTTAAACAGAATATGAGATGGAACTCATAAGAGATGATAAGGCACTAAATTTCGTGATTGCAATTCGCCTTTTATCTTCAGTTTTTTGAAACCATCCTCGACCCCACCGAAAGTCGTTCGTAATTGCAAAATGTCCCGTCCGTCATCTAAACCAGTTTCAGTTCAAATCAGGTATGTACTGTTAATTAGGATAACTACTGAGGAAATGTATTTCCAAACATGTGCAATTATTGATTTCCGTTCAGATGATCGATTGACGTCTAATCATAAAAAATCCATGGGAAAATAAAACCTTTTGTTGCTCATGCTTAATTGAAATTCTAATCATATTTAGGGAAATTAGGGCACCGAAATCATTTACCGATAATATTGTGAATACATGAGATTTCTTTCAGCTTCGGTCCCGTTGCGGTGTTTTTTTATTATATATTTGAGAAGTAGAATATTGAATACAATTTTAAACGCTCAAGTTCCATTTCTTGAAGGTCATAAACCAAATTTAGGTCTGCGGTAACCACACAATTGTCATTGAAGTCATTGTGGTGTTGTAGTAAGGCATACAAATCGGTAATGTTGGAAGTCTATAGCTACCGTAATCACTCTCCGCTCCACTATTGTGAGCGGCAGAGACTATCTTGCTTGGTTGATATCTGAGAAAACAGTCGTTCATCCTAAATCTACTGACAAATTCAATTGATCATAAACAAACAGTATCCCCTTTAAGTTCGGACACACTATTTATCTATGTTTATTAACCTTGAAATGTTGTTTACCGGTCAGGGTATAATTGCCCTATAGATAATTGACCAGTCCATGCGTGCCCAGTCGTTAAAGAGTCGGTGTGTACTCATAGGTAATTTCTCAATCTTTTCACAAGCCTTTACGATTAAACAATATTTGTTATATGGTATATGAATATAAGTATTTTGGAGATGGTTCAGAGATTTATTAAAGATACTAGATGCTTTTACTAGATTACACTTACTTGTTTATCTATTTTCACATGACTTTGCTGTGTGGAATGATACCATAATTGTACTATGTGCTGTCCACCAGCATCATTGTAATTGCCATCTTTTGTACAATCTAGTTTTTGTAACAACAATTTTCAAAAAAATATTTTTTTGTTTGTTTGTTTGTTTATGTTTAACGGCCCATCGACGGCTGTGGTCATTTAGGGCCATGGTGATTTTTTTTTTTTTTTTTTTTTTTTAACAAACATGTGAATAGCGAAGATAAAATCAGATAAAATGGTTCATTTTAAAAGCATTCGCATTGTATGTGTAGATAATAAAAAAAAATAAAAAAGGGGTTAAAATAATAAAAGAGATAACGAATAGATGATATGGAATATGCGATATATATATAACGTCAAAAATGATAAGGTGGGTTAAAAGACGTCAGAGTCTATAAAATAGACCGATGTCTTTCAAATAGTTAAATAATGCCTTCGAATCCACGGAACTGAAAAGTGTTTTCATATCCGGGACTCGGGAGTAGTTATCAAATCGGAACATTCTATTAAAAAATGTTCCAATGTAAATGGAGTGTCACATGCGTGGCATGAAGATATATCTTCTCGTTTTAAAAGGTACGAATTGAGTAGGATATGTGTGCCCAGTGCGGAGCCGAGCGAGGACAACTTCCTCTCTACGATCTTTCCGACTGGGAATAGATGTTTTAAGTTTCGGTTGTATCTTAAAAAGTTTGTTGTTGGTCTCCAGAGACCAGCGTTTCTGCCATTCATTTTGAATGGCTGTACGAATAGTAGGTTTAAAATCTGTGTATGGTAGTTTGATATTTGTTTGTTCGAGATTCAATGCATTTTTTGCTTCCCTGTCAGCAAATTCGTTGCCTTTTATTCCGACATGGCTCGGAATCCATAGTAAAGTTATTTTAGACTTTTTTAATATACGAGATATTCGAAGAGCAAGGTTTTGTACGAGTGTGTTTTTAGAATCTCGTAACTGTAAACTCTGTAGGACAGATAGAGAGTCAGAACAAATAATTGCCTTTTTAATGTGGTGTTCATCGATATGGTCGAGGGCCAAACCAATGGCGCATGTTTCAGCAGAAAAGATGGAGGCGCCGTCTGGTAGTCGGACTGAAGTGCAAGTATTGGCAGTACAGCAAAGATTAAAAATGACAAGCAAATATCAATATTCATAATATCATTACTTCATTTCAATATGATGTGTGTAAACTGTTTATTACTGTAAGGAGAGGACGCCCATAGGCTTTGCCTGTTGCCCAATACCTTTGTATCTAAGATCTGAACAAACAAAAAATCTGAAATGAAAACAATATTTGTTTCTTAGTCATCAAGTAGAAAATGCAAACATATTCTTACAAAACAACCTCGGTCACTGAGAAAATCTCTTCTGTCGATATACCATCGCTACATTGGTCTTATACGAACGAACCGGACATTCGTCGACTGTTCCTCGTGAGTAATTGTCTAATTAGTAGAACGAAACTGAATAGTTGATATATTATATTGTTGTGTCTGAATAGGACATACAGCTTACATATATATATAATATTGAGACTATGGATAGTATATGTATTACATACCTTGTGAATAATTTATTATGAAAATAAATCCAGATTTCAGGCCATGAAAGGTAAGGTAATTGCACATCTAACACTGTGATAATTCAAGATTATCCACTGATCAAATCGTTGGATTGGAACATATCGCTATTTGATGCTAATTTGAAACATTTTTTTTTTATATCGTAGCCGTTTTATGCGCTTGTTGTTTGATTCACGATTTCGGAAAGAAAATCAAAGGCTGATTGATATGAATTAATGATAAGTCACGTTCGGCAGAAACTATAACATGCATACTGATGTAGGTAAGTTATGCAAGTAATAAAACACATATGTATTTATCTGTCTCTGATTTAGGTCTAAAGACATGATTATTAAAATATGAGCAATCGGTACTCTTCCTTAAGAATGTCTTGGGCTATGCATATTGTATACGAATGTACTTTAAAAACATTTTAAAGTGCTAAAGCAATACATGTCCCCTATCGCCCCCCGCTAGCTATCATATTGTAATGATTTATGAAATTTGTGCCCTTTGGTGTTAATTCGACAAAATGAAAAAGCATACAATTAGCTTGTAACTGATTATAATGTAATAATAATACAAGAAATTGTAATGTTAGTATTATGACTGAGGAATTATATAAAATAAAATGATTGTTATATTTTGTTGCTTTTGTGGTATTAAAGAGACGTGAATAGCATCACCAATGTGTAATAACGTGTTACTTATCCAGTCTAATTCAGTTCATTATTGCCCTTTTAACAGCGTTACGGCACCTTAAACTTGGAAGTTTATTTTTTCTGTAAGCATCCTAATGTTTCTGAACCATAATGTTAACATGCTATTTCAAATATTTTCAATAAGTGAAATGATTAATATTTCTAGGAAATGATATATATTTTCATTAAGTGTAACCAGTATTCACATGGCCATTCGCGATCGTTAACACAGACATGGCCTTAGGGAATCTGGTTATTTATCCATGTTCACTGGTCATGCATGATCAAATAAACCTATCAAAAAGTTCAAGTTAATGTCACAATTCCAGACTTTTACATATACATCCCATACTATTTTATAGACCTAATTACCTAATGTAAATTAGATCAATGACATATAAGCTATGCAGCTTGAGTTGTAGCAACTCTGCGTATCAATCACAATAAAACAACTATACTTTGCAACACAACCTGTAAGGACATGTTTTCCTTCATTTCCAATTTCCCGTATACTGGTATGTGTCCTGCTATTTCACATTTCCCCTGTACGCGTGCTACCTTTTCACATTTCTCCTGTATTCTGATTTATTTCCATGGTAATTACATGATGATCTGTTAATCAGATATTATGGTCCTTTGTAATTGTATGAAGTTTGATCCAAATCCCGAAAGGAATGAAGCCGCTAGAGCGTTGACAACGATTTTCTAAACATAGTAACGGTGACTTTGACATTGACCCGACAACCCTGAAACTCAAACTTGTTCGAGATAGTATGGTCCTTTGTATTTGTGGGTATTTTGACCAAAATCCCTCAAGGAATGAAGCCGCTAGAGCGCTGACAAACATTGGTGTTACGTACGTACGTACACAGACGGACGGTGAGGAAAAAAATAGTTCCCCCCGGTTTCACCGGTAGGGGACTTATAATACCTGGTGTCGAGGTTAACTGAAGTGCTATGTATACTACAAAAAGATGTTGGTGGTAATGCCAGATATATTCCAAATTAATTTTGGTAGTGAAGATTTTGGAATTTTAACACTCACATGTTTCTTTGCTACAGAACGTTAGCCGCAACCACGACTTAAAATGATTACTCATTCAAAGGAACAAACAGCGACATCCGAAGAGTCACTGAGTCCGAACGTACGGGTGTCGGACGAGCAGTATGGGTGTCGGACGTGCAGACCAAAGTAAGTAACGCAGTGTGAATTCTCGCGGGTTTAAACATGGCACCTATATCGATTCCTTAATTTTTACCATAACAAATACATATATCTGAATAATTACTGCTGATATGAACCGGTATCCAAATATCCTCCCTCCTATTGGGAAAGTATATCTCCTTATGTAACACCAAATACAGTAGCTAACGAAATGGTTTAAAAATAAAATCATAGGAATGTATAATGAAATAAAAAATTCTCTTTATTTTCTTCCAAATGTATGATATACACAAACCATACATTTTTATTATGGACATTTTAAAGAGAAAATATATACACATGCATATAACGAACATATTATTGAAATCACAAACAAAGGCAATTCATTTATCTTGGATTATCGGGTGAGATTTGAGCATTACTTTATCAATCCTGCCATATATATATTCTATCCGAAGGAAGTGTATTTGCAATCATTAAAACCATTAAAAATAATTTTGCAGCATGTTAAATACAAAAAAAAAAAAAGTGAGGTGGCACTATATAAGATTCCGTTGGAAGCACGGTTCCACTATAAACAGAACACATTACATCTCCAGCACACACGCAGGCATACACACATAGCGATATATTAGCCAGGTAACATAGAACTAGTAGTTAGCGCCTGATAAGGCAGCTCCTGAAAATTCCTCAATATCATATTGACTAATGTAAATGCTAATTGTATTAATTGGATATCTATGAACTGTAAAGCGCTTTAGTAGAGTGGTTTATGAACAGCTAGTTAGGGCGCTATATCAAATGTTGTATTATTATCATCTTTTATTATCATGAAAAATGTGATTTTATATTAAAGTACTTTTAAGTCATTTTATAAGAGGGATTTTGTAAAAGAAGCTTTTACAATGACAAAGGTGTTTACTAAGGAGGTCCTATTTGACATTCATTAGCCTATGAATTCACATGTCTGCTTTTTGGTCACATATATTAATATCCTCTTTTACATGTATACAGAAAAATATAAGCGGTTACCGAGACTTACCGATAATATCACAGATTTAGACTAATCTTTCATATGAGCTCGTTCGTACTCCTGTTAAACCTGCTATGTATTCTTTAACAGGTTCTTGCAGGTGTTTAACGGCATCAGATGGCACGTGTTTTGGCAGTGCGTGTTTAATTTCTTCGAGGGATTCATTGTGAATGGTGTTATCAACGTCATCATTCCGTCACTGGAAAAGCGATACGAGATGTCTAGCTCTCGCTCCTCCATCATCGCTAGCTCTAACGACGTTGGTGCATTAATTGTGCTCATCTTCATTAGCTATTATGGAGGCCAGAGGAACAAGCCGCGTATCATGGCAGCAGGAGTGTTCCTCATGTCAGTCGGGAGTCTCATATTCTCCCTTCCACAGTTCCTGGGGGACAAGTATATTTACACAGCCTCAGGTAAGGAGAAACCATGCATGTTACAGAGTTATTTATAGTTTAATTGTAGCTTACTCCCACAATACTTTGTTAATGAAGTTATTATACAGTCTGCATATTAAGTATCAACGAAGCTTTCAACTCAAACTTGCTACAGATCACCTCTTTCACGAACCAACTTTTAAAATTCCCTATTACAGTTATGTTCATGTCAACTAAACCTGTATTAAATGGCAATCTGCAATAAGAGACTACTTCATTAACTTCCCGGAGGTGGTCTCCGAATACGAGTTTAAATATAGTTCCTTACTGATTTATTAATAGTACTGTTCAAATAATTCTTAATGGATATTGATACAGATAATAAAATATATCATAAAAGAAGCTACCTTTTTGTCCTTGCCCTTATTTGACCTGTTTTTGTTGTATCGATTTTGCCCGTGGAATGATGCGCTATCACAAGGAGGCAAGCACACCAACATACCCTGAACCCTGCATACACACACGCAAGCACGCATATACTACACACATGGAGGCACGTCCTTAAATGACCTTAGCTGTTAGTAGGACGTCAAACAAAACTAAACCAAACCAAACCAAGCCATTGGTTCGCTTGTATATTTTATCGTTAATACGATAGCTAGTGAACCTCTAAGCAAAGGATATCAATAGTTCACTCGTTGGTTGACTCAAATCCTCCCAAATACTATATTTGAAACAAAGTCCTGAAAAGAGCTGTACGCGAATACAAATGATTTGCATGTATTGTATATGTATTACTATTTTATGTTTATAAATATGTTCATGTGATGTTTACTCGTTTTACAAGACATGGTAAAGAAACACTAGATAGATTTTCATTCACAGTTATCATAGATTGTATGGCATTGAAATACTAGTATCAAATTCGATAATTATTTCAGTTGTAGTGTCAAATAAATTTGAAAAAAAAAGGAATGAAAACACCTTTATCATTTCCTAAGTGAAATACCTAGATGTTGTGTTTGAATATTGCAGGTGGAACCAATGGAACGCAAAACTTTTGTATAAAAGAAAGCAGTGAAAAATCTAGTAATGCATGTCAAGAGGGAATATCGGACAACTTTGCATATAATGGATACTATGCATGCTTTTTAATTGGCCAAGCGCTTCTAGGAATCGGAGCCGTCCCAATGTATACTATTGGTCTAACGTATATCGACGACAACTGTAAACCAAAACTGACGTCATTTTACTTAGGTATTTATCACCGTTCTCAGTGTGTCTTACGGTTTACGTGTATCTCTTTCGATTCTATGTTTCAATTTAAACTGTCCAATCACAGCAATTTGATTTTTGAAGAACACATTTACGCAATGAGGATACACAAGGATTACAATATTAATGAATTTCATGCGGCATTTCCTTGTAGGGTGTACAATGTGTTCAGCAGCCGTTGGTGTAGCCGTCGGGTACATGGTTGGAGGTCAGACACTGTCGTACTTCGTAGATGCAGATAAAGTGGATCCTTCCATGTAAGACACATAAACCGATTTATACAATGGATTTTTTTTTATACATTTTTAATAAATTTAGGTCTTCTTCCAAACATTTACTTTTACCAAAATTTCATACTAGTGTACAGGAAATAATTGAGGAATACGTTTCAAACATTAAGTTATTTAGAGTGCTGCGATTGAACATATGTGAAACGTGAAGCGTTTTCGTTGAAATTGGATAATCCTATATGGTGCATATCCGTTCTTATGATAACGGAGCATTGAATTCACTGTTCTGGTTCTTAATCAGCAACGTCCTGTTGGATCGTATTGCTTTTAATTTTGGATGGACTATCAAGTGTATCTTTTTCTAGTAGTTACATACCTACGTGGTCAATGCGCCGACTGAATCTGCCAGTTCTTATATTGAAATTGAAACTTACAGTGCTATGTTTATCCACAGCATTCCCCTCACTCCGGTTGACCCTCAGTGGGTGGGAGCTTGGTGGATCGGGATATTGATAGCCTTCTTCTCCTTCCTGCTTATCGCATTCCCTCTCCTTGGATATCCACAACAACTACCAGGTTTGTTTAGCAAACAGGCCATGTTAAGTAATATCAAAACAACCAATTTTTTTTTAACTTTTTATTCCCAATATCAAAACATGTTATGCTGAAAAGGACTATTCATTCAATTTTTATGCTCTATTTGTGATCCAGTTGACTAATAAATATGTACAAGTAAAGTGGAAAATATGCCGTTGCGTTAACAATTAAGGACTAACCAGGAAATGAGTAGACACCGAAACAAAAGTAAAAAGTTGTGAACTTCCATTAGAAATTTAAAAAATAATAATAATAAAGAAAACCGCTTGTTTCCTGCCCTATAGAAACACATTTTAATAATTATTATATCTTTTTTCTTTGTTTACACTTTATAAAAGTAGAAAATAGAAATGCTATTAAAAACAACCTCTTTCAAGAAACTATATACCAGGTAAATAGTCATTAGAGCTACTTACACGGAATGAGCTATTTGACATGCATTCAAATTTTCGCGGAATTTTTGGCTTCGTTCATTCCAATTGGACATTGCGTTTGTCATGTTCTTTCGGAACATCTCTACTTCCTTCGCATACAATACGATAAAGTCCGTAAGCGTTTCCGAGACCCAGATGAAGCAGACGTGCTTCGTTTTCAAAACAATTTTGTTGTCGGTATAATAAAACAGTTATTTTATGGGTATTTCGGGAAATAGCACTTTTATTGACCCCCGAGACATTAACTATTTCCCGAGGCGAAAGTGCTATTTCCCTCACACCCATACAATAACTGTATATTATGAACGCATAACGCATACACTGTACATTCAAATAGCAATTACAGTGAGTCAACTCTGACATACTCTCCACATATCCAATCATAGGACTCCAAAACACCTGCCAAAAATCACGTTCGGTTTTAGAAGTTATAAAATATTTGAATGATAACTTTTATGTAATGATATAAACTAGTCCTTACATTTTCAATTGAAAATCTCCAGCTACAAACGAACACATCACTAGCCTGCTGAGCAAGTCAATACACAATGGGGGTGACGACGAGACGACCACCAGACCAAACTTCGGCAAATCTTGGAGAGACTTTCCACGATTTTTCTTTTTATTGGTAAGATTCGGAGTGTCAATATTCATTTTTTTTTATAATATTGTTTGGAATACAATAACGAACAAACAAATAAACGTTCAATATAAAAATATAATGAGTTTTTTTTAATGAGATTTTTTTTTTTTTTTTAATCCTATCTAAGAAGTGGCTTGTTTTCTAACATATTCCAGATCAAGAACCCAGCGTTTCTGTGTGTATGCCTTGCTTCCACTACAGAAGCACTCTTCGTAGGCGGATTAGCGACATTTGGATCCAAACTGCTACAGGAAATGTATCATGTTGACCTCACAAGTGCCGGGTTTATAATGGGTAAGATTCCACCATTAGTACTTATAGAACAGCCACAAGAATATCAGCAATATACAAGGAAGCTAATGGGCGTCTATACTATAAGTAAACAGCTTTTTGAAAAATGACAACTCAAGTGAAATGTTCATTTTTGATTTCTCCTGAAATATTGTCATGCGATCATATAGTCTTTTTGTCTAATCGCCAGGATTAATAACCATTCCCGGATCTGGAGGTGGGATGTTTCTTGGTGGATATCTCGTGAAAAAATTCAGTATGGATTTCAAGGGAATCGTTCGCTTCTCTGGTATATGTATGTTTGTTTGCATGCTGTTTGCACCGTCATTCCTCGCCGGCTGCCCTAGTCGACCATTAGCTGGAATTACTGGAAACTACAAATTCGAGAGGTACGAAAATCAATGCATTTATTCTTGTTTCTAGTACCCATTCACAAATCACTAGTAATGAAAAGTAGAATGAAACATTAAGAAACTAAATCAACTGATAATCACAACTGAAATGGAGTTTTCTTGAATTTAAATGTGGAATATGATTTATGTATTCAATGCAAACTTATACACAATGTTTGGTCAGCGAATATCTATATCATAAGATGGAAAATACGATTTTGAATGATGTATGTTTTTGTTATGAATTAACTAATGCAGAATAAACACTTAAGACCACTCAAAGTCCTTTTGAGGTTCCCGTGATATGCATTTAGTATCCGTAGATAAAAATTGTTTAAAAATGTTTAACTTCGCAATTTTAGCGCCAAAACTGGACTGACATCTGACTGTAACCAGGACTGCTACTGTACCACGGCCAGGTACGAGCCGGTCTGTGACGGTAACCACACTGTTTACTTCACGCCCTGTCACGCCGGATGTACGGCCGTCAACGTCAATGGAGACGTCAAGGTGCGTTAACCAATCAGCTCTTATCCCATTACCAACTGTATTGTTTAGTTATATTGATTTCTGTTTTCCTGCGTGATGCACGTGCTGTAAAACGGCGAGCATACAGAAAGGGGCCAATTCTGCTAAGTAAGACCGTTGGCAGTATGGGAACTACTTTTTCAATGTTTCCTTACACTTTGTATATACCAAATATCAATACCACTAGAACTGTTGAATATCGATATAAGATATTGTATCCTTTCGTTATCTTTAATCCTTCAGTCGTCTTAAATGATTCATCATGGTCATTGGAGCTTTTTTTTTGTCTATCAGGAATACTTTAACTGTAGCTGTATAACGGGAGGGCTGAGTGCTCTGTCATCAGAGAAGTTAAGGAGTGACGCGATAGGAGGCTCCTGTATAGATCAGTGCCCTTGGTTCTACGTGTTCTGTGTACTGCTGTTATTTATCATGCTGTTCACGTTCATGACAATACCAGCCATCACGACGTCTACGTTCCGGTGAGTTATTTCAATATCCTTACGGTTACTTCTAATAACCTATGACATGTTTTCCAAATGATGTAAATTTGAAGCCATATAACTAGTCAAAAGGAATTTTACAATATTTTAAGAAATCAAACGTTTTCAAGATTATTATCAAAATATGTTTTTGCTTTTTTGAACGGGATACTGCATTTTCCAGTCTGGAATATTCAAAACGCCTTTCGGCTTGGTTTCTCTTTAAAATTCACCCAAACCATTGTAACTTATAGCATTTATTAATTTATCAACAGAACAAGAATTTGAACTTTAGCATAGAATCTGAGTTTGTCAATGGTTTCATAAATTGCATGATTTGGTTAATAATATATCTGTATCAATTTAAATTTACAGATGCGTTGCGTCACAGCAGCGGTCCCTCGCTCTCGGAGTACAGTTACTGGTCACAAGACTTTTAGGTATAACATTAACCACATTATTAAAATAATCACGATGTAGACGTTATTACGCTTATGATGATCTGCTTATTATGTATATGATAAATATATTTAGGTCCGATGAAATATTTCTTTACTGATCATTCGTTTGTTTGATGACGGTGTGTGCTCGACAGATATTTTTTTTTTGTATCTGAAACAGTAATGTGTTGTTTGTGTTATACTATGCGAGTTATAATTACCAATCATATTTTTGAAATTAAAGAAAACAAAATGATTCAACAGACTTATCAGAACTGTTCATATCAGAGTTGCATCGAAAACATTTTACTTACTATTTTAATGTTTTCTTACTATTTAGTCAATTATAAGCATAAAAATAATGTCATGATAAATGCTATCACAATCTGTGACGCCATTTCAACATTGATGGCTGTTTTATTGGCTGTTTAAACGTTTTACCAATAAAAATTGTTGTCAGGAACAACGCCTGGACCAATCCTGCTGGGAACAATAATAGACAGCGCATGCTCAGTGTGGCAGGAGAGCTGTGGACAAATCGGTTCTTGTTGGACATACCGGAAGTACGAACTGAGCATGCGCCTCATGGTTTGGATGGCAACACTGAAATTTCTTGGCGCTATTTTCACATTGATTGCTTATAAAATGTATGTATCACCGCCAAACGAGGACAATTTTGACGGCATATCGAAAAGGAGTGTTACACCAACCCGTTGCTGAAAATGTTGATGGTTAACTTTCTTCAATAAAACTGTGACAATCTCATCACTTGATGCGTCATGCAGATTCATGTATTGCGCCTGTTGAAAGTTATATTTACTGTGTCATGTATCTCATGTGGAGAAGAGTTTCACACTTCGAAACCAGTAAAATGTATATACTTAGTTATATGATGGTGGAAGATTTTAATATGCTAATTAATGTTTCATTGTCGTCAATGAGGCAGGAGACGATTCACCTTCCGGAATGCTTGGTCCGTATACTTTGTATCAAGGATCTCTATGCACATCATCATAATGTATCCTAGTTTTACCTTATTTTACGGTTTTGTTACATTTGGAAATGTTTTGTTTTTTGAAGGTTATAGAGACACGGAATATCAACATTACAGTAATATGTTTTTTAAATAATGTGTATATTCTTTTAAGGCAAATTAAGGTATGGTCCATGGAAGCAGTTCTAATTTCTGATTTACACTCTACCTATGCTCATATATATATTTTTTCACATATCATGTATTTGTTGTTTAAATGGAGCCTCTGGAAAGATTTTCCTGCTGCTGACTTACTGCACATGTGTATGTTTCAAGATATTTCTTTTTACAATTGTTACCGGGTGATCCTTTAAAGGAGTACATGCTTTCCCCGCTGGTTATCTTGATAGTTATATATATATTTAAGGGGTTTCATGATTTTTTGTTTTGTTGAATCTACTTTGAGTTCGGGTTTTGTCCTATATTAAGTATATAATTTAAAGGAACTAACAACTGTAGTTCATTTTGTTGTAACTGAGTCAAAAAAGCTGAATAGTACGCGAAGGCTTTTTTTGCCATAATTGTATTGGCCTCAGACGTCAATTTTCTAAATAAATGTAAGGCATACGAGCAAATTTGGTAACATACAAAGGTCACGAGCAAATTTAGTCACATACAAAGGTCACGAGCAAATTTAGTCACATACAAAGGTTACGAGCAAATTTAGTAACATACAAAGGTTACGAGCAAATTCAGTAACATACAAAGGTTACGAGCATATTCAGTAACATACCAAAGGTTACGAGCAAATTTTGTAACATACAAAGGTTAAGTTAAATTTGTATCATTTAAAAAAAGTCAAACTGATTTTAAAGAGGTATTGCCCCTATCCAAGATCGCTAACACAATCCAAATTGATGATACGTTAAATACACTTGCAAAAGGGTTTATTACACTGGAAATCCTGTGTAAAGAGCATGAATCGGTTGAGTAGTAATCAATGGCCAATTGTTCGTTGAAAAGCTTTACATTGTTTGTACTTCTGCATGAACATACCAAATATTAAAGCAGTTGCTTCCTTTAACATCAGTGATTATCTAGCTCAAAATCATCTATGGTTCTGTCCAAGACATAGCGTATGATATAATTTAAAGCATACGAGCAAATTTGGTAACATACAAAGGTTACGTGCAAATTAAGTAACCTACAAATGTTACGAGCAAATTTAGTAACATACATAGGTTACTGAGGACTTGTGTTTCGTAAATGTGTATGATACAGTTTGATACAACAGGTGTTCTGTTTTCATTTTGCCTATAATAAAGGTGAAAGGAAGCATACCATACAATATTATTTATTTCTAACGGGTATATATGAATTACGTGTGTAAGTTATACCACCTACGTGTCAACAGAAGTGAAGATTTAACACAGGAGTCAACACAGGTATAAATTATTTGTTCATAAACGCATCATATATGAAGTAACATATTGAATATAAACAAAAGTAGTTATGTTCAAAATGTATCACATATTTTTCTTGCATTTAAAATGTGCGAAAAAGCAGTTGATGATTATTCATAATTTGCTGTTTATATACTCGATAGCGAGATTTTTGGCAACTAAGCTCTAATATCTAACACTGTTATAGCGGTTATGTTGAGAGTATGGAAACAATAAGGGATATACCGTTTGCAATGTTTATTTAAATCATACGAACATACGAAACCAAATGTGTCCGTTTTCAACCCGCACTTGAACTTTTATTTCATTACTTGTTACGAATATTTTCTGAAAATTATTTAGATCGATTCAGTTTACTATACTGTAGAAAACACATTTTGTTAATTAATGCTATCATCACCAAGGAAAAAGAGAATCGATAGATGAAAATGCTCATGAAATACAAATAAATAAAATATCAAAGTTTTTATGTGTATTTGTTTGTTTATTTTTACAACTATGAAGTTTTTATCTTGCTATTACATTTACCGATTATATGACGGGCCAACGTTATATGTATTAAAAAGTGATGATGCGTACCATTTACCACCAAGAGAAATCCAAGGTTAATGTGTGTGTAGCGTTTATCATTTAACGCTTAGTCAGTCGTAGCGGAAGCTTTTGGTAATTTCTGTTGTTTGTAGATTTAAGTAGAAGCCGATTACGAGATTTTATAGAGAGTGATGAACAGATGACCATGTACAAAAATATAGAATGCAGTGAAAAAGTGAAAGGATTTTGTTCATACTTGAAGTTGAATTTGTATCCTTTAAAAAAAAATCAAATTGATTTTAAAGAGGTATATCCCCTATCCAAGATCGCTAACACAATCCAAATTGATGATACGTTAATTACACTTGCAAAAGGGTTTATTACCCCTGAAAGCCTGTGCAAAGAGCATGAATCGGTTGAGTAGTAATCAATTGCCAAGTGTTCGTTAAAAAACTTTTCTTTGTTTGTACTTCTGCATGAACATACCAGATATTAAAACAGTTGCTTCCTTTAACATCAGTAATTATCTAGCTCAAAATCCTCTATGGATCTGTCCAAGACATAGCGTATGATATAATTTAAAGCATACCTCCACTGCTTTGTCAATTACAAAAAAAAAAAAAAAGGAAATTGAACAACTTCCAATACCAGTGTCTCAGAAGGATATCAATGATAATATGGCAGCAAAAAACACACAATTTTGAAAGTAAATAGATAGCCAGCAAAAGTGACATAAGCTGTGAAATAAGGAGAAGAAGGTGGTACTGGATTGGTTACATCTTGAGGGGGGAGGGGGGGGGGGAGGAGTAAATAACTGTACCAGCTTTGTGATGGGTTACTTGAAGGAAAAAGAGCAAGAGGGAGGCCAGAAGCAACCTGGCGAAGAACAGCTGAAAAAAGCACGCAACCGTATAGAATGGAGTAGCTGAAACATTGCAAAAAACACCAGCGCAAGACAGATTGGGTTGGAAAGAAAGCGTGGAGGCCGTATGCGCCTTCTGGCACGGAGAGAATTAACTGCATTTACGTTATCACAGTCTTAGCATACCGTATACAACACTGGTAGTAAGGACAACGTAAGGAAACACATGCTGATAAGGTAATGACTAGTTTACATTCATTTATAGGGGGAAATTGGTGTTGATCTCATACCAATTGCCATGATAAACAATTATTATTATTACAGAATTTGTAAATTGATTTTCTATTGTATGCAGGTGTATTATCACATATTTAATGCATATTTCAAACTTTCCAGTTAAACGTTACGTAAATGCGTATTGAAAATTAAATAAGTATTCAAGATTTATAGCAGGTATATATATATATATATATATATAACGGAAAATCGATTTGCAAAATTTATAATATAAACGGACTGCTTTGCTTGAATGTACTTTTATCGATAGATATACATTTATGTGCGAATACTGATACTGAATTGTGTTGTTTATATAATGATTATTTGTTTATTATGTTATCAAATATAAATTATAAAAAAGAAAATTATTATCTTAGTCGTTAATATCATTATTAGTATTACATCGTTTTGAAATTGCCCATACACACTATAATATTAAATTTCTGAAAGAAAAGGAAAAAAAGATAAGTAGGGTAATATGTAATCAATAAGAACTGAAAAGACATTGCATCATCATGTCTGGTTAATTCCGGATGAATTCTGCTTTCACTGATCTGATAATAAATGAGTAAATTCAATTTGTATACATTTATGTATGTACACGACTATTTATGTTACTTGTTAAACCATAAATCTAACAAAATATTGGAAAGCAAATGTTTTGCTCAACTGTTTGTTTATTTCTAAAAAGTAAATACAAGAGTTTATATATTCATATCTAGCATAGTCAATTAAACGATTCAGTAAATTATCCAGTAATATTGTTCATTTCTTTAATCATTTTTACATGCCTTTCACCAAAAAACATTATACGTCCATAAATATATTGGTATTTATTTCGTCCTGACTGGATATTTTGTTGCAGTGGGTTTGTTCTTGCATTAAGTGTCACAAAATAACACAATGTTGTTCTGCGGTTTCTCGTTAAGTAGATGAGCCTGTTAGATAAGATAGCACCGTGTCTCTAAATATCTTATCTGTTCCTGCCACTTAATGATAACTTATTTTACATAGCACGATAACAATAGCATGACAAACGAGATTAAACAATGACCTGAGCAAGTAATTCAAACGTGCTATCGTTCGCACTGTTCACGACAGAGAACCAGGGATTATTGTTAAAAAGACAACAATAATAAATGGCAGACGACGTCGAGGTAATGCTTGATTATATATCACTAGGATTATTTAATTAAACAGTTAATATTTCACTGTAAATATACACTATATACTAGTAAACATTCATAGTGTTTAATAGGTAGTTCTAAAATTCAAAGCTATGCAGTGATGTTACTTGAAATCGCTTATTAGCTATACAGAAAGTGAGATTCTGAACCAATCTCTTCTTTTTTTTAAGAATTCGGTACTTCAGCCATTACAACAATTAGACATGGTCTTCGAAAACGCCGGTCAGTCAGATTTGCCAAAAAGGACTGTCGAAAAAGACGACGGGTACGGATGCTTGACATGTCGACCAAGGTAAGTGGCTGTTATGGGATATCAATAAATATATCGAACATATAACATCAGTATTACAGAAACATAAATGTGACTAGCAGGTGTTTTATACCAAATCTGTAAACCAACCGTTAACACATGAATGTGACGAGTAGGTGTTTTATACAAAATTTACAATGAAGCCATTATAGAAAACAAGTAATTTTCTAATCATATTAAAATAACAAGTGGATTATATATTTTTTTCGACGCAAGTATATTTACTACTGTTTTGACAAGTACAACATACATCCTTCAAGTAAAAACAACAGGAGCATTAAACTAGCAATATATATAACTAAACGCGTCCTTACTTTGTGTAGAGTTTTACAGGGGTTCAACAGCATCAGATGGCACGTGTTTTGGCAGTGCGTGTTTAACTTCTTCGAGGGATTCATCGTGAATGGTGTTATCAACGTCATCATTCCGTCACTGGAAAAGCGATACGAGATGTCTAGCTCTCGCTCCTCCATCATCGCTAGCTCTAACGACTTCGGTGCCTTGATTGTGCTCATCTTCATTAGCTATTATGGAGGCCAGAGGAACAAACCGCGTATCATGGCAGCAGGAGTGTTTCTCATGTCAGTCGGAAGTCTCATATTCTCCCTTCCACAGTTCCTGGGGGACAAGTATATGTACACCGTTTCAGGTCAGTAACATTTTTGATCGCTCACCATTTGACCTTAGATCGATGCATCACACATCATCTATACTGATATAACACTGCTGACTATTTAAAGAAAACCAGCGTCGTTGACTTTATAGAATAAAGGGAATAACTAAAAATAGTTTTATTACATTTGTACCTGTGAAATATCAGAATGATCTACGTATCATTTTATCTTCACGCTTATTTTGTGTATATCAGCACTATTAATACAGTCAAATCATAACTATACTTTCTATTCACTGGTTATTTTATTTTAGGTTTCAAGTTCAGATGAAGCGACGGTAGAATACGTGGTTGTTTCGAAACCTTTGTAACATACAGTTTGCCATGTGCGTTGAGTAACCCATTCAATAAGGTTATCTGCCTTGTTGTCTGGTCAAGCGTGGCTTCTTTAGAGCTTGGTATCCAAAATTACACTACTGATTCCCGCACTTTTTTGTGCAGCAATACTTGCATCGAGTTACTTTATAATGTGTAACGAATAGAAATGTAATGGAATGCCCCTTGAATACCTTATATAAATGATCGTTATTACTGATAATTCTACAATGTGTGCATGTATCGGATCACAAACGTAATTATGTAATTTAAAATTACAGATGGTAGCAACGGAACACAAAATGTATGTTTGACTGGAAAGTCTAACACCTCCAGTGGCGCTTGCGAAGCTGGACAATCCGACAATTCTGTATCTAATTGGTACTATACATGCTTTTTAATTGGACAAGGGTTTCTAGGCATCGGAGCCGTCCCTATGTTTACAATTGGACTAACATATATCGACGATAACTGTAAACCGAAATTGACATCCTTTTATATAGGTAAGACATGATTTTCTTCTTGGTATAGGAAAAGTTTCCATGATAAGTAACGCATGTTTAAGTAGACCACACTTATTCACAGCATATGAATAAAGAAAACAAGAGAAAAGAACTACTTCTAGTAAGCATTTCATGAACTCCTAAAATATTAAAAGTGTTTAGTTTTTCTAATTATGGTATAATGACAAAACCACTTTTTTCCAACGAAATGAATTGCCTGGTTAAAAAAATAGTTTTAATAAAAAAGGAGCAGTTAAGAGCAATTAATATCTACTTCATATCACACGTTAATCAATTAATACTCTCAAGCCGACTTCCACTTTAACTGATGTTTAACTTGCATGTAATACCAAATGCCAATTTAAATTAAAAACCTCAATTGCTAAGTTCAGAGAGTAAAGAATATTTCAGCTGTTTATAGTGTATGGTCAATTGTATTACGATGTACTCAAAGGATATCAAAATAGCCAGGTTTGTGTTCTAGGGTGTACATTTTGCTCGGCGGCTGTTGGTGTTGCTGTCGGTTATATTGTCGGGGGTCAGACTCTGTCATATTTCGTAGATGCTGACAAAGTGGACCTTTCCTCGTGAGTATGAGACAATTCAAAATAGAAATTGCACATTAATCCGTATGATTTGTTTCATTCACATCATCATTTTTTTTTAATAAATTTTTATTCATATATAAAAAAAAAGAACGAGAGTGTAGAATAATACTGTAAACATACATATATAAACCCATGCATATTTCCCTGAATCTGCGACAATGCAATAAATACGCTTAAGTATTTATTACTAAAGTATCAGAAATAAAGGGGGTTATAAAGCGGGTATTATCATCAAGAACATTAAAAAAACAGCTTTCAATTACCACTGAAATGACTACTTTTTCAGTATCAAATTCTACATACTTTGCTATTTAAATTATCAGGGCGTTGAGTGAGGTGGGAATCGATTGGACTATTTCAATTCGGACTTTAGCAGGGCTAAATGAGGTATTCTGCCTATTTTGAAGTACAGGATAGGGCAATCGTTTCAATCACATGTATTTCTTGTTTTCGGTGTCTTCTTTGTTCCGTCTATGAAGCTTCGTGTCGATTTTGATTTCCGATTTTGTATTTGTTTGTATAACTTTATTCTTGGCCACTACCAACAGCGTTCACCTTACTCAGACTGACCCTCAATGGGTGGGGGCCTGGTGGATTGGGATACTCATATCGTTCTTCTCTTTCCTGTTTATCGGTTTTCCTCTCCTTGGGTACCCCAAAGAACTTCCAGGTTTGTATACAAATTATTCAACTCGGAAATATTTCCAAAATGCATAAAAAGTTTTACTTTAATAGTTTTTAATACAATGTATGACCTGTTATACCATATATCCAATTTCTTGGTTACCATAATCTATACCAGAATATATATATACCAATGATTTTGCTTTTCTACAGACACTAGATGTTTCTTAACACAATATTCTTAACAAGTATCAGTATTATAAGCGTAGGCATGAAACGTTTTCTAAACACACCCCAAAAAATTACATATATAACAAAAAAATATCTTAAAGAGAGTTGCCAGTTTTGATTTACCAATTATGTATCATTTGTTGTTTATTTCGTGCCAATATATGATATACTTCTTAATAAACAAAACGATGTGGGCTTATTTTACCAGGCTATGAACAACTACAGAAACTTCGCAAGTCCGAGGCCCACAATGATAGTGCAAACGAGTTGACCACAAGACCGAACTTCGGGAAATCTTGGAGGGACTTTCCGAAGTCCTTCTATTTATTGGTAATATTTGTTGTGACAGACTCATTCGATCCATATCGATCTAGGAAACTTTCTCTTCTGAAAAAAACAAAGAAAATATTTTAACATCGAGGAAACACAATTATGGAAGTGGTTATAACACGGTAATACACTGGGTCCTGCCTTAATTACGGTGACCGATTTATGCCATCTCGTTTATTCGTCTTTTCGCCCTGAAAAGACGAGATTAAGTATTGTTTTGGAATAGACTTTAGATTTTAATTTGTTTAAAAGAAGACGAGAAACCACATGCGAAACAACGCAAAAACCAAGCACGCGAATTAGAGACCTTCCATTGTCGTTTTTTACGAGGTAGCAATCTCATCTTTTCGTCAATTCGTCTTATCTTCCCGAAAACACAAACTTTCAAACCTCGTCTTTTTGAGGCAAAAAGACAAAACAAAAAGATTACGCAAATCAGACACCGTACGTAATACTTGTTTTATTTTTTATTTCTGAATGTAATTGATTCAATGTCGGATTATCAATTCTGAATGGAGTCAATACCAAACAATCTTAGACACAAATATAAGTTTTGATTTGTATGTTTAGAAACGTTATACATTTCAAAAGCATTTTCTCTTTAGAGTGAACTTGTACTTTCAATACAAAATTATGTTTTGTTAAACAAGCTATTTCAACATTTACAGATAAAGAATCCTGCATTCCTTTTCATTTGTCTGTCCGCCACAGCCGAGGCCCTTATGGTCGGTGGTCTAGCGACCTTTGGATCCAAATTGTTGCAGGAGTTCTACCATGTCGACCTTACCAAAGCTGGTCTTATAATGGGTAATGGACTCTCTCTGTCCACCACAGTATTGTAAAATATGTTTGTCCCATCATTACAGTACCTTCACATATTTAAACGGTAACTGCAAAGAGATGTACTCATCTTCTTCAGAGATCGAAGATATTTTCAATTCGATTCATTGTAGAAATTTAACAATACTTATGATAATGTCATAATACAATATTATATGTTTTTTCTCCAAATACCTCCTGTTGACAAAATGTTTCTTAAACGTGCATTTTTAAATATCGCATATTAAGGACAGCAATGACGTTATAGCAAACTGTAATGTTTATTTTACATAAATATTCAATAATTAACGCCATTGCCTTAGTATTGAAGTTTGAGCAGTAAATATTTTTTACATTCGGTAAGGCGAATATCTGGCCAATAGCAGCTGTCTATGTTTTTTCTCAAACGTCTGTACATTATCATTATTTAAAGTTAAAACAATGTTATTGTTGACTGGACAGGTCTAATTACCATTCCCGGATCTGGAGGGGGGATGTTACTTGGCGGATATCTCGTGAAGAGATTCGATTGGAAATTCCAAGGAATCATCCGGTATTGTGGTATATGTATGTTCATATGCATGCTGATTGCTCCTTCATTTCTCGCCAGCTGTCCAAGTCGGCCGTTAGCCGGAGTTACTGGAAACTACAAATACGAGAGGTATATAGTAGGTTCAAGGTAAAGAATGAATTCTCCTTTAAGATAATTATCACTTAAAATGAATTGGTGTTGTACCCTAAATGAAGTATGGCATTTACAGGACGTTCATAAAATTGCTTTTAAAAAAAGGAAATTATAAAGCAATGTACAATAACGGTAACCAGCTTATTTTTAGACAACAACTTGGGGGTAGAATAAATTAATTAGAGAGGAAAGATCGACCGTATTTTCTATACATAAGGGCAATATCCAAATTAAGGCGGCTATAGGAAATAGGAGTTACCAAATCAAACTTAAAGACGAAGTGAATATACACTCCTTCCTAAGGATTTCGTAAAGAACTAAAATACAGAAAGTAGAATGTGATGCCATGTAATATATCAGAGAATATGATAAAATGAACTCAATGGCCATAATAACAGTATTTGTCCTGCATTAATGTATTCTATGTCATTTTTCTCTGTTCGATTGTAGCTCTCTCACTGGACTGTCGGCTGACTGTAACCGGGACTGTCACTGTACCACGGCCGGGTACGAGCCGGTCTGTGACGGTAACCATACTGTCTATTTCACACCCTGTCACGCCGGATGTACGGCCGTCAGGGTCAATGGTGACGTCAAGGTGCGTTAGCCAATCAGTGTTCTCGCGTTATCTTCATTGAAGATTTTTGCATTATGAGTGATGATAAATTTGTAATGGCGACGAAAAAGGCGGCGTAAACTTTTATATACATTTTAATAAGCAACGGGTGCCTCAAAACTAAACCAGGTTAGTGTCATAATGACATGGTTTAATTGAGGCATCCGTTGCTTTTGAAATGTCTATCTAAGTATTATACAGCGCCTTGTTCTTTGGTCGCTTTCGCCATTTGACAACCTTATTCTAGAAAATATGCTTTATAATCATATACAGCTCGTTTAAAATTCGATTAAGGAAAGAAATAGTTTCAGAAAGAACTCAAAAATCAAAATAGTATGACTCTAGTGCAGCTTACTAGCCATTGCAAAAAAAGACCATGACTACTAGCCATAATCAAAATACTTGAAACCACCGTAAATAGACAGAAATTCATAAATAAACTACCGCCGTGTTGCAGTTCAGACATTGATAACACACTTCACTGTACTGGCATATAAAAAGACGTAAAAATACTATTTGCTGGGAGTACATTGTTCTCATAGAATATTTTCTAACCATTCCGTTAGATTATACCTCATTTCGAGAAATGTTGGAACATGTAATAAGTCGGTGTCTATTCAGGTTTTTATTTTAACCATCAGGAATATCTTAACTGTAGCTGTATATCGGGAGGTGTGAGTACGTATACCCTATCGTCGTCGTCGGAGTTACGGAGTGACGCGATAGGATGCTCCCATATGGACCAGTGTCCGTGGTTCTACGTATTCTGTGTACTGTTATTCCTCAACATGCTGTTCACTTTCATGACCATGCCGGCAAGTACAACGGCAACATTCAGGTGAGATATAACAGCATATTACACTCACTCCTTTTCGTTATCCGAATACCTTTATATCTTACGGGACCGCTTTCATTTATCGCGATCCAAACGGTTGGACCAGAGTTATTCTTTTATGAATTAAGGTCGGAGCTAGATTTGTTATGCTGCTTCATGCGAGCCTTGACGAACTCGTGCAAGGCATTCATAAACATTTGAATGTCCACCAGGGTCTATGCCCGAAAATGTTACATTTAAAAAAAAAAAAAAAAAAAAAAGGCCCCAGGTATAAGATGATTCAGTGATGGCTACACCAAATATTAAGACTGAACCCGTATTGAATATGTTACCAATTTCACGCCAGGAAAAAGAACATAGAATCGTTTCCTACATTTTACGTCTAAAATTACATTGTGAACATCTGTGAAAAAAACTTGGGCAAATAAAAGCTAGAAAAATATACACATATGTCAGCGATCAATTCTAGATAAAAAGGGAAGAGAGTAAAGATTATAAAATTAATTAGATAGAATGTTGAACAAGCATATTATCATTCCATATTCCACAGAATTGTTTCTTTGAAGACGCTACGTTAGTCGGATTTTACCTGTTTTCTCACATGGGCTCTCGTCGACGTAGCAGAAGACGTTTTACTTTCTGGAATTTTCCATGGTGTCCATATTATTGTTGTTTGTTTTTGTTTGTTTACAGTGCCCTTGTTTAATCGATTTAGAGTTCGAATAATATTTGTTCTTTACTTTTTATGACTCTGTTTGTAAACTTTGTCAACTTCACAAAAATTCAGCAAGGACATCATATCACGACATACAAATTTGAAAGGGGGCTAGATAACACTTCAATTACGTAACAGACGTGTACTATTGTACTTAATACTCTTTACTATACAAGCATTAACGTAATCATATGTTACCGTTATCTGGAATATCAACATAAGCGCAATTTTGGACTAGCATTTCAACCCTTTCCTACGGCACACATACTTCAGAAACAAATGTTTTTTTGCTAGCAATATACAGGATGTAGTCACAGCATAAATAGTGCCAAACGCGCACAATTACACAATAACGTTAATATTTATGTTCTTGATATGAAAATACTTTATTTCATTTTGTAACGAGCTATGGCCTTCTAAAACACGATAATTGACAACTGCGTTTCTAACAATGCTTTACAGAAAAACTAACATATTTGTCTAATTGTATTCCTGTACGTTATCAAAACACCGTAATTGTCAATGTGTATGATATGCATGTGCAATAATTGACTTGATTATATTTTTTTCTGCAGGTGTGTTCAACCAAATCAGAGATCACTCGCCATCGGGGTTGAGTTGTTGGTAGTAAGACTGTTAGGTAAGGTTATTGTGTGCTAAGTAGTAAAGCTAGCCTTGTGACATTAAGCTCCTAACAGACCTAACTAGCTTCACCCGTTATCATAATCGCTTTATCACACCCTGGCCACTTGACATACACTTAGATCTTCTGTCCCATAACCAGACCCATTACCATAAACATACACCATTTATTGCAACACACTATAATACACATGTAATGGAAATGGAATAAATTTTGTTCTCCGAAAATCAAACGTAATGCTTTTTCTATATTAGAATTTGTATAAATCCATTCTAAATGAATACTAACTCAACCAGCGTCAGAGTGTCGAGCTGAGGAAAAGAGATTGTTTTTAACATTGGCTCATCACGGTTGATTTTTGGAAAAATATCACTATTTAAAAGAAATCAACCATAATGGTTTAACATTAAAAACATTTAAAACATTTTATCAATACCACAAGTAAAATTAACATGAAAAGAAAAGTAATAAAACAAGAACTAAAACAAATAAATAAATAATTTTGGGTTTCGGTTGAGCATATGATTAGCAAATGCGGTTAAGTTAACACGTAGTCGAACAACTTACACCTTTAATGCTATGTATGCTGTTGTTGTGATTAATTAAAATGCCACTTTTAGTTTTGAACGTTTTTTATTGGCTATAAATCATGTCTTAACATAGGCCAGTTCTATATCTACACGAACAACTGATATCCCTGGTAAACTTAAAACCACTGTGTGGGTTTTTAAAGCAGATCAAAACGCAAATAAGATCGTTTCAAGTATCATACTGTTTGGATATGTTTCAGCCATTTAAAAAATCATGATAAGGAGAGACGTGGCAAAATGCTTTTATCTACAAAAATCTGGGGAAAAGCCATCGATGATTTATTTAAAACTAAATGCCATGTTTTGATTACATTACGAGCATTTGATATTGAATCTCCAATCAACAAAGAGATGAGTAAATTGATTTCGAGAGTATTCAGGCATACATTGTTACATTTAAATACTTTAATTTAATCTTCGTTAGGGACAACGCCAGGACCAATACTGCTAGGAGCAATAATAGACAGCGCATGCTCAGTGTGGCAGGAGACCTGTGGACAAACTGGATCATGTTGGACGTACCGGAAGTTCGATCTGGGCATTCGTCTCATGGTTTGGTTTGCTACACTTAAACTATTGGGCGTCATATTTGCCACTATTGCATACAAAGTGTATGTGCCTCCCCCCGGTGAGGACACAACTATTGCAGTTTCCTCCATTGCTGCAAATGTGGACGATGGTAAAAAAAGTGTTTCAACAAGAATGTAAATTTTATTGTTTACATAATTCTGTAACTTATTAAGGTCTAGAAGATGTTCCTCTATGACGAATCAAATGCATATTTATAATAGTTGAATACTTACTTGTTTCTGCGAAGTAATGACAACTGCTTCGATTGATCGTCAGAACACAGGGATTCGCCTACCTTTTATTATTACAAAAATGAGAACTACTTCCTTGTATCTAATTTGATCCTCTGAAATTGAAATGGAAGACACCACAAACATCCCATCATCAGCTTTATACTTGACTCGAATCTGAATTAAAATGGTTATCTGGCCACCTATTACAAAACACTGACAACGTGACGTCATTAATTTCAAGACCGTTAACTATCCTTTCCTCAGATGTAACATACCAGCCTCTCCTGTTTATGGAATATACATGTTATAATTAATTCTCTACTCTCCAGCATGTTCAAAGTATCCGGATTTATAAGTTCGATATGTTGGCCAATACATTACGTAACCAATGTTATCTAGAGGAGCGACATTAAACTACACTGACGTGATTTCCAGTGATGATCTTCGACCATGTTTGCAGATTTGGTCAATGTTTCTTAAATCTTTGTTAATTGGATTTGACGGATTTTTTTTAACACACATGTAACATTAATTTGCTTATTCTCTATATACCAAACTTTTTATGAGAAAAACGTTGATATAAACACAAAAGAGCCTGATGATATAGCCACCTTAATTTCCAGCACCTGTTGCTGAATTATAGGAGAATAATTGTCTTAACTTATGAAATATCTGTTATTTTTTAACAATAAAATCGATCTGTTTTTAAATCAATGGACTTTGTTTTATTGTTATAATTACATTAAAGTAGACGGGATTCGCACTTAATGAGAGTTATGCACAAAAGTTGTTTAATCAGAATAAACGTAAGAGGAGACATCAGATTATTTTGCTGCTATACACATTGCTGTTGCTATCAAATTCAAACCCAATGATTCCATACCTTTAGATTTGATTTATTTTACGACAACGTTATATCAAAGCGAAAAGTTGCACAGTTAAATACGCAAGAGAAGCGACATGTATTTACGGGTACGTATGACTATGATACGAAAGCCTATTCCGTCTTTTCGTATTGCAGAGTTATCTTCTCTTGTGAACAGGTATTGATTGTTACGTCATTTGTTTGTGAGAGTAACGTCTTCAATTTTTGAAAAAACGACATAATTTTCTCTCACAAACTAATGACGTAACAATCAATACCTGCTCACAAGAGAAGATAACTCTGCAATACGCAAAGACGGAATTAGTCACTTATAAGGAATAAGGATGGTGCTATGTTATAATATTTCAAGAAAAATCTTACAATTTATGTACATCTTTTGATTAAGCAGATGAAATATTCGTTGTACTTTTTTCTTGATATGGAAGCACGCTATTGTCAAATATCGAATCTAATAAGGCGGGTAATGTTGTTTATAAAGTACAAATAATGCACCAAAGTACTTTACTATAGCAGAACTGGAGGTGTCGATTGCATTTCACAGTTTATTTATAATAAAATTCAGGAGGCTATCAAAAAAAAATAAAAAATGCAATTCACGACAAAAGCTAAACTGAGTAAGTCGCGTGCCAACTGTAGACTATTTCGATACAATATACTCCGTACGTCAACGAAGAATAAAGAGGAAGACGTCTATTTCAAAGAAATAATGCCGGGTCCTAACTGCAATCGTATTTAAAAAAATCTATGAATATTTTTTTCTTTTCGTCTATAAAAGTTTGAGATACTTCTACAAAGCATTTTCACTAAACACGTTAATTGAAGAAAAACCTATACAGTGCAAGAGATCGATTAAAAAAGACACTAATGAACCATAATAATGAATCTAATAGGACAAAATATGTGCAATCAAGAATAAAAACAAATGATATGATAATACGTGCAAAAGAACTCTTTAACGAAAACATCGACTCTATCATAGTCAAAAGTAAATCTAACCCCAAAACCTATTGGAAATAGCTTGAAGGCTTGTACTGAAAGGAAACAAAACTTCTGATGTATCACCACTTTTTGATGAAAATGCTAACGAATGAAAATAAGCATCAATGCAACTTCTAAATGACTATTTTTCTTCAATTTCTAGACGTTTAGAAGTGGACCAAAACAAACCTATTTCCGGTATAGAAAAACGAACCGACTCTCTTTTGTCCGAAATCCATATTATCCCTTCCGAAATAGTTGATATTATTAAAATACTAGATGTAGATAAGGTAACAGGACCTGAGGGAACCGGTCATCGTATGTTAAAACTTGTAAAAAAAAAAATGCCATTCCCCTTTCCCTCATTTTTAATCACGCCCTATTCACTGGTATATATTCCAATATATAGAAATTAGCTATTGTCATGGCGACTTTAAGTCTCATGATATTTCTAATTAAAGACCAATGCCTTTGTTAAGCTGTGTTGGGAAAAAAATGAACGTGTAGTCTATAAATATATTTACAACTTTTTTAACTCTAAAACCCTTATTCATAAATTTCAGTCTTGATCCCCAATCATTCTTGTACGCATCAACTCGTTAAAATGTAACATTCTATGCTGTTGATTTTAGAATGTCATGAACAAATAGCTTTTACTTTTTGCCATTTTTCAAAGGCCTTCGATAGAGTTTTAACCATAATGGGATTATATATAAACTACATCAACATATAGTAAATCAGGTAGTCTTCTTATTTGGATAACTAACTATCTTTTTGAGCGTAAGTAATCCGTCTTAAAATAACATAAACGTCAGTGTTACCAAAGGTTCTGTGTTAGGTCCTCTATTCTTCCTAATTCATATTAACGACATTTAAACCGACGTATACGATACGTCGCTTTTAAACTAATCACCAAACCTAGAAAATATTGTAAGTGAAGTTAATAAACACATAAACACTCTAAAGAAACGATCTAAAAATTGGTTGATGTCCTTCAGTAATAACAAAAAAACCACTGAAATCGTGATTGTCTATAATAAAAATCTACCCTTTCAACCCCAATTTATTTTTTAACGTAACCTCTATCCTTTTAACAGATAACCACAAACACCCTGGTGTAATACTAAGTACTGACGGTAAATGGAATAAACATGTAGAGGAACTTATAAAAAAAAAGTGGTAAAATATATAGCATCCCTACGGAAAATGAAATGGATACTCAGTAGAAATAACATTGAAAAACTGTAATTAACGTACATACGACCCTTGTTAGAGTATGCATGTGAGGTGTGGGCCAATTGTTGAGTAACATATTCATCAAATCTTGAATATATCCAGATGGACACTGCACGAATTGTTACAGGTCTACCCATATATACAAAAATCAAGCATATATATATGATAAAATTGGCTGGGTTTCACTAAGTACAAGAAGGATATTAAACACAGAAATTATCCCAATTTTTCATCAATAAAAACGAAACAGCTTCAAACTATTTGTGTGATACCATACCAGAAAGCATTGGGGATATTTCCCGTTATAACCTAAGAAATCCCCAACATCTAAGACAACCCAACTTTCGGGTAGAAACTATGGGCAATTCCTTTTTCCGATCAGCTACAAAAATGTGGAATGACCTAGATATTTATATAAGGAATTCGACTACTCTCAATTCATTTATAACAAAAAAAAAAGAAAAAAAAAGAAACACCATTTTATAAATATTTTCTGGTATATGGAGTTCTCGTAAACTAAACATACTTCATTGCCATTTGAGAAACCTTGCCAGCTCTCTTAACTATGATCTATACAGAGCAAATTTAATTAATACATCTGAATGTGCATGCGGTAATCCATGTGAAGACTCTTGCCACTTCTCTGTGTCTGTCCCCTGTTCACCAAACATCGAATAGAGTTACAACTTTTCGCGAAGATTTAACTTTAGACTAATTCCTATATGGAGATCCGAAACTCAGCAAAAAAGAAAACAACTGCAAATGCAACCGGTTTGTCTAAATACGATCAACTTTGTCTCTCTATCTCTCTTTTTTCTCTGACAATACCTGTCTTACTATGCCTTACTTTGTGTCCCTCTCCGTCTCTTCTTCCTCCCGCCTTTCTATTTCAATAATAGATATAATTTCGATATATTGTGTAAATTGTCTTATCGAGTAATTGTTTATGATAAGTTGTGAAACTTGTGTCTAATTGTTTTGTAAGTATTTATTTGCAATAAAATATGTTAGAATCAAAAATCAAATAATCGGAGAGTGTTATAACAAGACTTTTGTAGGTTTTTGTTATCTTGTTTGAAAAGTAAAAGTTCTGGAGATGTTGTATGGTCCAAATATAAATTTAGTAGAATACATTTCTCTAGGTCGGTGGGTGATTTCTGGAGTATCCAAAAACACACCCGTAGGTCTGATGCCGTTGGTCCTAACTGAAGTTACAAATAGCAATCATCTCGTTTTACGTACATTCACACAATACAAATATTGTTAGTCTGAGTGACATCTGTCATTCACAGCAATTGTCCTTTGAGACCGAGGCCGTTCCCGACCAGATAAGGCAATTTAGCTGTCCTTTGTCGGAGACTCATTGCAGTGACCGATCTGGTATGACCAGTTTATCCTGTTATGTAATAGAATTAAGTTAAAAGGTATTTGGTATACGATGGACATAGTTCATGCATGAGTTAATCTGACAACAATGGTTCAAACGAATTATACATGTGGCTTGTTCTCGTTTCCCCCACTTTTTAAAATAACATGGGGGGAAGAATGTTACCTGTGGGGTAAGTATGAAACAGACTATAATTGGTTTGTCATTGTCTTCCTAAATCAACAATTTCCTTTGTTATTTAAAAAGTGGGGGAATCGAGAACACCCAATACATGTCGACTTCAAAGAAAAAGCTTCATACATGCAGAGACGTATACGTCTCTGACACAAGTTAAGGAGAGTTAACGATACAAACAATTTACAGCATATTAGAATTATGTCACACGGTGAAAAAAATAAAACGATGGCTTAGAAAAAAGGAGAAATGATTGGTGGAGCGTCCATGTAGAGTTCGATGGGTCCCGGGTTCGAATCCAGGTTTGGCCGTGCGTTTCTCTTTCCTGTTACAAAATGAACAAGCATAGCTCAATTGACAGCGGATATCAAGAGATCTAGAGGCGCCATGAAATACACAACACAAAGCGGGTTACTAACATATGCTGTCCTCCCAACAAACACTGGCATAATCGTCAAAATGTACGACGTAATTTACCTATAAGAATAAGAAAAAGAAACAATACATAGCTTGAATGCCGGAGCGTGCCCAGAAAGACACCATATAAAGAAATACGTTTGAATAAAATGTTAGTATTGATTGTTGACCCTATTTAATTTTCAATTTCCATATTGTATTGCTCTTTTTAGTTACATAGTAACTTGGAGGCAAATAACAAAACAACAAACATGTTAAGAAACTTCAAAATTCTGAACAACATATAAACTGCATGAGCGGATCCAGCATCTTATAAAAGGGGGGGTGGGTCCAACTTTATGCCAAAGGTCATGTGAGGGCCGAAGGCCGCCGAACGAAGGGGGGTACGGGGGATCTCCCCCGGAAAAAAATCAAATCCTAGATGACCGGAGATGGCTTTTAAGCACTTTTGAGAACAAAATGAGGATAATTGTTCATTACATACAAACATCAATATCTTGCAAATTATTTTCCATTCAACTTTAAAATTTGGTCATTATTTGGCAATACACCCAATGTCACCCGTTGGACTTTTGGATATTAAAGGAATTTAAAAGGTTATACAATACTCAAGTAAATACCACAGGTCAGCAATAAAATTATTATCAAAGAAAAAAGATACAAGTGTGGACGTAAAGATACAATATGGACAGTACCACTACCTGGCTTAAAACAACTGAAGATCAAACAGCATTTCATAAATGTTACAAATATTATATTTATAACTGTAAATTTATAATTCAATTTTGTTGTTGTTGAAAATTATGAGCAACGCCAGGGGTGTACAAATTATGATAATATAAGTAAGGTTATATGTCTAGAAAGATAAAAGTCTATAAAAAATAAAATAAAAATGGTTATGTCAACAACAAAGGTCCCCTCCCAAAGTATGAGGTACATTCTGAGGCTCTAAAGCAAACCCAACAGACAACTTGTTTTACCAAACAACTAAGTATTTTGTTATAGTAGTACATAATGTATTACTATAATGAGTAGTCATTTGTGTTTTGACTTCTGGAAACCTGGTTTCTGTGACTCGTGATGCTCTCCATTTAGTTTGATGCCTCACTGGACCGGTTATTGTTTTATCATCCATACATATATAAATAGCGTGTTTTTCTCAATAAAATTCACTACTTATAATTGAAAAAACACTCGATACTTCTCAATCTGGTACTACATCATTTATTGACTATTTCCGGGTACTAGATGGGTCGCACGCTACACCTGTATATTTTATATTTCCATCCGTACTTTCTTTGACTTCGATTGTTATCCTTGTGTGCTTTAATATTAATGCAGTACGGTTTTGCTATTTAATCTTCATAGTTCGTTTTCATTTTTGTTTTATGACGTCATTCGTTATCTTCAAAAACCAGTTACATGTAAACGTACATGTATATAAGCCGTTGCATGCGAGGATGAATGTCAATATATATGTATTGGAGAGGAAAGTCCAGTGTCAGATCAAGTAACTACTATAACATGATGGGGTATTTACCAAACATTGCGATTCGGCGCGTCCGATATCCCATCATTTTACACAAATATATATAATCGTTAAACGATACATATATGTGAAGGACTTTGCACATACTTTTAATCACAGGTGTAGCTTGTCATAAAATATTCCGTCCCTCCATCAAGATCCCTACCCGACCCGCGGGCAATGAGGGGTAGTGGTCGGATTCTGAGATGCGATAAAAATAATCCTATACTTGCGCAACACACCCTCACACCCTTGAAAATGTTAGTGTGTCTGTGTGTGTCTGTTGAGAGGTTATAGTGGTCAGTTCAAGTTATTTTGGGGAAGTTTTAGGGGGGATGGGATGGGGGATGGGATGCGTACGGCAGCTAAACCCCCCCCCCCCCCCCCCTAAATCTGTGTCTTGCTATTTATTGTTCCAAATAATTCCGTGTTTAAGCCTATCAAATGAATACAAATCAAAAATAGAATTGTACATTAGATTTCCGTAGAGTATGATATAGAAACAAGCATCTGTACTAGGTACAGGGTTTGATAAGATTAACATTGGTACCGACCTTACACCAGTAGTCCCATATTATTGGGAATATGGCCGAGCGAAGCGAGGCGACAATTTTAGGCGTTAGTTGTTAAGTATAAAAACAAAATCGGCGGTAAAAAAAAAGGGGGGGTCCGGACCCCCTGGACCCCACCCCCTCTCCCTGCATCCGCCTTTGAACTGCATAACCGATGTTCTGTCGTACGTGACTGATCAATGGCACGGACAAACAAAACTATAATCTTAAATCAAGCACATTCTAGTGACCAGAAGAGGTCCCGACGCAGGGGCGTTTCTAGGATATTTGAAATCAATTTTGTTTTGCTAAAAAACATAAAATAATTGTGAAATGCACTAATGTAACGGTTCCTGACATGGAGCATGTATATTTTAGAGTTAAAGTGTCAGGGTGTTTATGTGTTTAATTAATAAATATGAAAAATTGCCATATTCAATACAATATTAGCAGATTACGATAGTTTTTTGTTTGTTTTTTTGAAAGGGGGGGGGGGGGGGGGGGGTACGCCCCTGGCCCTGCGACGAATTTACTGTGAGAACAGGAATACTCTTTATCATATTTTATATTTTACCGAGATAGCTGATTCCGTGGTTTTAGTGTAAAATTTCTTTGTCTTAATTGTGACTGTCAACATTTTTGGCGGGAGAGTGACTATCTGGTTACGGTTCAGTTCAGTGAAGAGTATAGCATTTGTTTAGGGATGGATAATAGCACGGAATCGGATGATTCACGCATGGCCATTTTTTATAAGTTGCATTAGTGCTACTCACTTGAGAGGAGAAAATCACCCGAAATATATATGCAAAGTTCTGTTATTCATCAAAAAATCAAGAATATTTTTCGAAGTTAAGAAGTAATTAAGAATGGAATGTCCGGTTCAAAGGATCAAATGTATTAGTACGATTTAATTTGAATAAAAGACAATATATTTACAAGCATCCAAATACAAATTTTGCATGAAAGATCAGAGACGCTTAAAGCTATACGTCTCTGGAAAGATGTAGTTTGAAATAATCGATCTATAATAATAAATTAATAATAATAAAATAATAATATTAGATATATGCCATGTATGGTTATTGCTGTGGTGTAAAATATATATATCACCAGTGTTTTGTTTTCAACAATATTTTGTCATAAATATAACATAACCGTTTAAAATAAAGCTATTTCTATGTTTTAAATTGCTAACACCATCAGACCAGGATAATTTCCGGATTTTTTATCCGTTTTCCGTACAGAAAATTAGAAATGCCTATTTAGTAAACATGGCTGCCTCGAGTATAGACGAACAGGAGGCGCCTACTGAGTTCGAATTGTCGTCATCATTTGGCAGTTCATCCGGTCTCAAAATCGCTGTTGAACGATGTCCTGTGTGTGACTATAGCAAACGACCATTTTACTGTAAAACATGCGTCAACCAGGGCCTGTTCGTGCACTCCAAAGGCACCTACCCAGAAAGGTGTGTAGTTTGACAGATGGTGGTAATCAAAATGTAAACAAAGAAAGAAAATACAGAAAAACTGTCAGTTTTATTACTGTTTCGTGATTTCATTTTTGCATATTGCCTGATTTTGTGATTTTGCAGACACAAACCTCTTTTTTCTTGAACGACTATTTATCATATGGTTAAATAACTAAGCTGCGTCATTGCATTTTTAGGATACCTGTAAGCTTCACTTGATTTATGATCTTCCGTAATTTTGTGTGTTACAGGTTTACAGATAAAAGTCACAAGTTAGAAATCCTTACAAAGGAGAGGGATTCTGTGCTGGAGCAGTAAGAAATGATTTGAAGTTTCCCCATCTATCACTTCAATAATTCCTTTGGATTCAATGTGTGAAAATTTATAAAGACTTTCTTTCATATTGCTATATGCCAGCGAGTCACAGAGTTCTCAAAACCACAATAAAAAAATGTCACAATGCATTTATCAAACTCTGTTCTGAAGGGAAACTACCGGTAATATAATCAGAAAATCTTCTGATTATCCCTGTTGACCCCCCCCCCCCCCCCCCCCCCCCCCNCACAACACTTATGTCTTCAAACAAATTCAAACGTCCAGAGATTGCTATAAACACTCATTCTATCATAGAACCATAATACTTTGTCGAATTCCCACTGATGCAACAATGTCATCTCATGTTACAATAGGGTATAATGCCCTAGCCCATAAATCAAGAGTCGAACATCCTGGCTCTCAACTATATTACCCATTGAACTGGCCACCATATGGTCCGGATTTTCCCCCTATTGATGTTTTTTGGAAAAATGAACAGTATGGAATGGTCGTATATGAAGTGTGGAACAATATTTCAGTGTCAGAAGAGCATCTTTACACATGATGTGCTCTAGATCTGGCTCAGAATCAAAGCTGTAACAGCAGCAATGAGGAGGACATACTATAGATACTGATTTATTATCAACTTAATTGTTTTCATTTGCTGTTATTGGGGATACCTGCATTTCAAAAAGTGAAAAACTGTGTGACATTTGTTCCTTAATGATAGTTATTTACATCCCAAGGAAAATATTGTAAACAACATCTGATAAATCATTTGATATTACTTCAAAATTTTACCTTGCATGTCTTTTCCTTTCAGTAAACCGGATATGTATGTAAAATTATTTCTATGTTAAAGTAATAGTTGCATTGTCTATCTTTGTCATAGCAATACTGACACAGTTTGTTTTTAGATGGTGGCCATATGGTCTATTCAAATCACCCTGAATCTATGGTCTGTCATTCTGTCTGTCCTTAAACCATTCTTCTTAGTGCTATTTCTCAGAAAGAAGAAAAGCGATCTTTCTGAAATTTCACATGAAGGTTCCCCATGGCCCCAAGTTGCACATATCAAATTTAAGGACTGAAGAGAAAACCAAGGTGGTCGACGGAAGTTAAAGTTTGATAGCAATATTTCTCAGAAAGTACTGAAGGAATCTTTATGAGTCTCAAATTTGATATGTAGGTTTCCCTTGGTCCTTAGTTGTTCATGTTTACTTTTGAGACTGAACTTAAGACTGAACAAGTTGGAGGACAGGCAAACTGATCAAACAGATAAGAGAAAAGATCAAATTGACATAAAATGGATGAAGATGGTACGATGGTGTGCATCAAGATCCCTCTAGATCTGGGATCTCTTGTTTCTTTATATTTATATACATTGTATACTGATAGTTATGAACAATATTTTGTTTTAGGGTGAAGCATTCAGTGTATAAGAAGCATGTCATTGATCAGAAGGTAATATGAATAACTTTGTATGTGCATGTATTACGTGTCCTTGCCAACTTTTTGAAATTTCCATGGGGCGATTATACGTGCTCAGAGTGAAGAGCATAAATAAAATGTGTGTATGTACACCCTAGAGGGAAAATAACACTTTTAAAATGCATATTTTGAGTTGTTCTGTCAGATGAAATCATCAGATCTTAGAAAGTAGGAATAGTTTAACAAATTCATTGGTTGAAAATGCTTAATTTAGGTGTCCAAAATCGGGAGCCTTCCTAGGTCCTAAATAGGGAGGGTTGGCAAGTATGGTGGTATTATTTTCTTTATAGCCTATGAAATACAGGCAATACAATTTATTGAGACAAAATACCCTGGCAAACGTTTCCCTGTCATTCAAATGCCTTCTGCTTTTGAACGACTACTTTTGAAGAACTGGAGGACCTGGGGTCATGATATTTGGCCAGTAGGTACCTGGGATGGAGTGCTATAAACTTTCCTCATTAGAAAGACCTACCGGTAGACCTTTCAAGGTCAAAGGGGTCAAATGTGTCAAAAACTTCAATGACAATATCCTAAGAACCATTTGGACTAGAGCCATGATACTTGGGGATGTTATGTAGACCAGCTGTGTGAATTGTTTTCTTTGTTACAGTAATGAGGTCAAAGGTCAACTTTAAGTAAAAGTTGGGAGTCAAAGGTCAATGGTGGTTAAAAGCTTTAAAATTAAAATTTTAAAATGTCTTGTATTCTAGTTACCAAATTCGGTCTTCAAGTTACGTATATGTTTCATATAACAAAAGAAAAAGGTGAGCGATACAGGCCCTCTGGGCCTCTTTTTTCTAACTCAAAGTCATTGGGAGGATTGAAATGTACAAGCTTAGTATCAGAATACCTGAATTGTTTTAGTATGTAAAACACATCCACATCCTGTGTATAATCTGGTTATTGTTATCATCACTAGGCTAAATAAACAAATCTGGTAAGGTTGACATCCAGAAAAACCCAGAGTAGGTAGATATTCCTTTTCTTGTCTCTAAAAAAATATATTTTAACATGTATACTCTAAACATATGAATTATGCAAATTGATGTTCACATATATACTATAGCTGTTACATATTTTGTGGTCACTGGTACGTTAATTCATCAATGCAGTTATTTGTTTGAAATTTGATATTAATACATTAAAATTTAAGTGTGCTAATGTGAGTACACTTGCAGGAGTTTATTTCATCATAATTTTACATATTCAATAAGTCACAAATGATCTTTTAAAAAAACTATTTTACTGATGTATTATCACATTTTCAGAAAAATGAAATCCAGGAATGTAAACGGAAGATCACATTGCTCAAACTAACGTTATCTGCTTCAAAGGAGATGAAATCATCAGGTACTTAACACTATTTAAAGAGTCAGTGATGCGTTTGGGAAATATGGAAATTTTACTTAAGGAATGAAACTTTGGGTTAGAATAAGTGATTTTGTAAAGATTTTTTAAGGCAAGTCCTGACCATCAGTTCAAAATGCTGATGCGTCCAATTATTAAGAGAAATAGGGGATTCTCCAAATTTGTGGAGCCCCATAGGAAAAACATGAGTCTAGGACGCAAATGCTTTTGTCTAAAAAATCAAGCAAGACATCACTCATATTCTGTCTTTTCATATTGCGAGTTATCTGCTCTTGTGAGCAGGTATTGATTGTTATGTCATTTGTTTGTGAGAGTAACGTCATAATTTTTTGAGAAAACGACGTAATTGTCTCATACAAACAAATGAAGTAACAATCAATGCTTACTCACAAGAGCAGATAACTCTGCAATACGAAAAGACGGAATACGGGTTGTGGTATTTCAGTCTCATCAAGTTCTAGCGTGTACATGTATGATCATAATTGTGAGGTCAGAAAATTTGAGGTTGACTAATCCAAAAGCATTCTTTTTTGTCCTTCAGAAAATGCTATTTGATATCCTTTCAATACAAAATACTGACAAAAATAATTTGTAGATAAATTCTGAGCAAATTTTCATTTTGACCCCAAGTTGTACACTTAAGGGTAGAGTTTTCCTAACCTTGATAATTCACAAATATATAGGATGTCTTTTTAGACTGTACACCCACAGACATGGCACAGACCAAATATCTCCTGTCATCCGAAAGGATATGTTTTGATAGCAAGTTTTCCCATTTATCTGTTAATGCAGTGTACAGAAAATAAAATTGAACAATTTAACACTAAAACAAATGTATTTTTTTTTAGAAAGGCAAGACTTAGATGTTATCAGCAGGGAGAACCATGCCAGGCGATTTAAGGGTCGTAATCACCAGGAGAAGAAACAAAGAATAAAGGATTATATTAAGCTCGTGAGGACATCCAATGGGGTGAAATTTAACTCACTGGGAGATGTCCTGGAGGATCTGTCCAAGGAGAGGAAGAAACATGTAGCTGACCTGACACACTACATATTTCCTGTAATGGAAGTCAAACGAGACAGGTAGACTCACACTGGAGCTAGGTTATTTTACACATTTATACTTAACGACACGTTGGTGGGAGGAAAGTGTACTTGAATCAGATTGTCTGTCTGTCTTTCCTTATTCTGTAGATGGTGTCTTGTCGGATCCTGACGCCTCCTCCCACAATTTTCATCAGAATTTCATGAATCTCCCTTTATGTATTCGATAATCATCACTCCCGAAAGTTGTGCACAGGTGCTTGCTTTTATTATGATATTTTTATGGGAGTTAAACCTTTTCAAAATGCATGGATTTAAAACAATTCTTGTTCAAAAGAGTCCTTTTTATATTTTTCTTTAAATTTCATGAAGCTGATAAAGTCACCAATATATATAGTTTGATGTGAATTGTCTTTGCTTATTTTTTCGAAACTGTTAATTTAAATGAAAGTTTTGCTCCTTTTGCAAACTCTTTGCCCAAACCTTTCCATTCTGATATATACATGTAAATAATACATTGTATTTTGATAAATGCAGTTTGAACAGATTTTTATCAAACTGCTACACATTGTCATTAATTGATGTAACTTTACTCTTATATTGACTTTGTTTTGGGAACTTATATCTGGGAAAAAGGGGGAGGGGGGTATCTGGGAAAAAGGGGGAGGGGGAGGGTATCAGTTAGTCTGTCGCTCAGACTTTGTTTCGACAGTTCGTTGATACATGTAAGATATTTATATAGACAAAAAATCCATTGTATTGGTACCCTATACACGTATCTACATTGCTTCCATTACCTGTCTTTAATACGCATACAACTTACGTAGTTCCGTCCAAACGGTCGGAGATTTCAGCAGACTTTGTTAAGCTCAGCAAAGTCTCAAATATCAAGATATACCTACAATTGTATGCCATCTTGTTTTATAGTATGGTGGAAGAGAGTGCAAACTCGGCCAGTACAGAAAAGGCACTAAGGGATGCGAGCCACACAACGTACATCCGAGGTCAGTGGGTGTACACAGACGGTAACGATGGGGACTTCAGGATTGTGGAACCGACGTTGCCCTCTACTGGCGACTACTCACCCTACAATATATGGGGTAAGGTTGGAGGTATTGTTTTACTGCTGGATCATTTTTCCAGTTTCCCACGGCTTTCTTACTTTCCTTTGTTACATCAAGTAAAAAAATTCAAATATAATTTATCTGGATATTTTAAAAAAAATGAATCCCTCTTATTGTATGCTTGATGTGTTGCTTGGCTATAATGTAAAATGTTTTGTTATTGAATGTTTTACAGTGGCCACGAGTCGTGAGAACAATGGTGACCCTGATAACAGTTTACGTAACCCTGGTCACCGAATCAGTGCAGCACTGTGTTACGCCAGTCAGCTAGTATCGATATTGTCATCTCTGTTAGATGTTCCCCTAGTTCATAGGCAAAATTACAGGTATGTTTATCCCGCCCAACTCTGTTAGATGTTCCCCTTGTTCATAGGCAAAATTACAGGTATGTTTATCTCACCCAACTCTGTTAGATGTTCCCCTAGGTCATAGGCAAAATTACAGGTATGTTTATCCCACCCAACTCTATTAGATGTTCCCCTAGTTCATAGGCAAAATTACAGGTATCTTTATCCCGCCCAACTCTGTTAGATGTTCCCCTTGTTCATATGCAAAATTACAGGTATGTTTATCCCACCCAACGCTGTTAGATGTTCCCCTAGTTCATAGGCACAATTACAGGTATGTTTATCCCACCCAACTCTATTAGATGTTCCCCTAGTTCATAGGCAAAATTACAGGTATGTTTATCCCACCCAACTCTGTTAGATGTTCCCCTAGTTCACAGACAGAATTACAGGTACGTATATCTCGCCCAACTCTGTTAGATGTTCCCCTAGTTCACAGACAGAATTACAAGTATGTATATATCACCCAACTCTATTAGATGTTCCCCTAGTTCACAGACAGAATTACAGGTATGTTTATCTAACCCAACTCTGTTAGATGTTCCCCTAGTTCACAGGCATTTACTTGAATTAAAAAAAAAAATCAAAACATCCAAAATTTGTTCGTAAGAATTGCGTTTAAACTTAAACTATAACCAAATACTGAGCTTCTTTTTTCTTAATGCCCTCTGCTGTCGACTTTTTCATTCATAAATAATATCTTCCAATGATAAATATACACAATTTAAAAGCTACAACCAATGAAAATGTGTTCTATATGTGCTGGTTTTTACACCCATTAAAAAAACACCATTAAACAACCTGTATTGTTCCAGTATATTTTGTGAGATAGTCTGAATTTAAACCTGTATTTTAGCTCATTGGGTCCGAAGGACCAAGGTGAGTGTATGCCATACTGTGGCGTCCGTTTTCCGTCGTCCGTACGTCAACAATTTCTTCAAACTACTTCTTCTGATTAACCACTGATTTGAATTTAACTTGATTTGACTGGAAGCATTCCTAGGTGGTTGGGACTAAAAAAGTACAAATGGTCAGGCTGACCCCCCAGGGGGCTGAGGGGCGGGGCCAAAAGGGGGCAATTTGGCTATATTGCTATAACGACTACTTCTGTGGATATCAATCATATTTGATCAAAAGCATTCATGAGAGGTGGAGATTCAAAATTGTACAAATGATGGGGCTGCCCCCCGGGTTAAGGGGTGGGGCTAAAAAGTTTATTACTTGGTAATGGTAAAGATCCCCACCCTATAACCATATATGCAATTGCTGAGTATAAATACACATATGCTTCCAGGATGGCGCTGCGGTCTGCCCCACCCTTGCAGACTTAACCCCTGGGTCATAACTTTGAGATGGTTGAGATCCCCACCCAAGAAAACATATGTATACAAATGATGTGCATAAAGAGACGAATGCAGTCATGATATTAAAATTGATCTTGGGGTCTGGCCACAACCCTAGGGACCTAGTTTCTGAGTCACAGCTTGGAAACAGTTGAGATCCCCACCCCATAACCATACATAAAATTGCTGGACATGAAAAATCTAATACAGATATGCTACAAGGACTGGCCTTGGGATCTGGCCCATTCCCTTTGATCTCATTTGGAGAATATTTTGCCAGGATTGCTTAGATATCCAGGTGAGCTATACAGGCCCTCTGGGCCTCTTGTTTCAGTACATTTTGCGAGATAGTCTGAATTTCAAACCTGTATCGTTTCAGTATATTCTGTGGTGCTGAGGTGATCGAGAAGAATTTTCGGAACTCTGTTGCCTGCCTCAACCAGAATGTGTTGTACCTGTGTTTCTCCCAGGGTCTGGCAGATTGCCCTCTCATTGATCCTAGGAATACATTAGGAAACATCTGCCTCCTCGTTAGACACACAAGTCTAGGAAGGTAACTTATTTTGTTGTCTGACTTAGAATGTTGTGGGTAGTTTTTCATAAAAAACAACTGGCCTGTCTATTCAATATGTGTTTTATTGATCAAATGAAAATCTGGCAAATGATATAGTTAAGGAGTTTAAAAATGTGATTTCATATCTTATGAGAAATATATTTTTAATAAATTCAAATATCGAGTTTGTTTATATATATTCAGACACATACAAAAGTGGGGAATATCTGCAGTGTATATTTTGTAAATCTTTGTGAATAAATCATTGGTGAATAAAAAATGAGTATTTAAATATAACTGATATATATACTGCAGTGATAGTTATAATTTTCTAAAAATATCAATTTAATTCATATTTTGGAACTTAACACCAAACTGTTAGAGGTATGTACAAATTTACAAAACAATATTATGTGCAGTAGGAATGACTGAGGCTAGATTGATTATCCATTAGTGCTATTTTGACAAGTAACATACATGTCAATCATCCGTCTCAATATTTACAATTTGGTCCTGTACTGAAGAATGCTTGGAAACGTTTCACACACTTTATCCCTCTCTGGGTTTGCACTCAGAGGAGGGTCCAGAAGTTGATATGTATGAAGTAAATGTTTGTCCTTTTTCTGCCCTTTAGAGAACAATCCTTCACTGTGAACCAGGAGCTGCTCCAGTCAGTAGGGGAGATAACTGTATCAACAGACGAAGAACGAGAGGAGGAGGAATGTCAGGCGGAACTCTTCACACGTGAAGGTGAGATTGGACTGCCATCAGACTGGGAGGAAGTACCACATGATATAGATGAGAGTGAGATAGTAAATCGTACAGTGTTCAGTTCAACTCTGCAATCGACATCTTACGCGCCACCGACCTCTGAACCTACTCACCTCACTGCCAGTGCTTTCGTCTCATCAGCTGCCGCATCTCTCGTGTCCTTCTTCAGAGGACCTCAACCTTCTGACAAAAGATGACATCATGGTCTCCTAGTAGTTTTCTTTCTTGTAATATTGAAACCATGTCGAATTTTGTGACATTGGAGATTCCTTTTGCCTAAATGCTATATATAATAACTTTTAAGATCAATTTTTTATATCATTGGTAATGAAAGCACTTTCTATATTTAATATCACTACCAGAATTTAATTTATTACATTTTTTAAAAAGTTCCGCTTCATAAGCAAATAAGATATTTTCTTACGTGAAAGTTTTGTAAATTTTGGAAGATTTCTTATTAAATGTTGCACACTGTTTAAATACAGTTTTGTTGAATTAACTACCAAATTTGGTAGGCCTTGGTTATTAAACAAGTTCATTATAACCTGTGTGGCATTGTTCCTAGAATGATACAATTTGCAGTCTTCTTCAGGAGTTTTTTTTTTAACCATGCAATTGAAGATCTTCTACTTTGAAAGATTATTGGAAAATCTTTTAAGTTATGCATGCCGAGGTTGGAAGTAGACATCTCTCAATATGACTGATGCTTGTGTTAAGTGCATGCAGACTGATGTATTTATTGCTCTAAACAGTCAGCCTTTTTGGTCTACGATTGTGCTGATAGTTGTTTCGGATAAAAAATAGATCAATTAATTCACCTAGGAGCTAGGTAAAATTGACAGTTCATTAGCCATTTGTGAAGAATATATATCATATTTGCACTCAATTTAAATGCGGAAGTTCTGTTCTCAGTAAAACTTCTTTTTGAAGATAAATATTGCAAATGGTATCATTCTCTGCATATTTATTCAAAATATACTTGAAGAAGTGATATGTCAGCACTACTGTTGCTCATGAATTTTTCGAACAAAAATTGTCCTTTTTATAAATAATTTATGGTCATATTAAGAATTTTTGTTAAACTGTTTCTTTCCCTGTTCAAAATTTTTGAGATAACCATTGAATTTGTCTTCTTTATGGATTAAGAGGTGAAAGTAGAAAGTGGGTGAACATTTCCTTTTTTAATGCCACTTGAGTTATTGTTTCATACTTATTGTCACGACGGAAACTTTATTGATCTCAAATAATTAAAAATACAGTGATTCATGACATTGGCATTTCTTAGCAGTTTCAAGGGCTTTTTCTGTTGAAGGATGGTTGATTTGGTTGGTTTGGTTTGTTTGTGTTTAAAGTCCTATTAATAGCTATGGTCATTTAAGGACGTGCCAGGTTTTGGTGGTGAAGGAAAGCCGGAGTACCTGGCAACTGCCCCATATAGGCCTCGAACCTGCGACCCAGTGGTCGAGGGCTAGTGGTACATGTACATGTAGCAGACTGTCTGACGCCTTAACCACTTGGCCAACGCGTCACCTGGATGATTGATCGGTTGGGACATTTTCTTGCTATTTTTGAGCCCAAACCATGAGAGTAAATCTGCTACCTCTTTCATAAAGAATAATTTATATAATGGTTTATAATGGTTATTTTAAAAATAAAAACTGCCATTTTTTTTAAATGTGTTTTACAAAATGATTTCCTGATGGAAAATATTTGACTTTTGCTGCCAATTATGAATGGAAATTTAATGTGTGTTCTGGACAAGATATTGCCTGTCAGATCGGCTTTGAATTTAGCAAGTTGCTCTATACAGTTAATATTTAGGTATTATGCACACTCGTGTCAAATATGCAGGTATATTTTTAGAATGAAATTTGTACCCAAGTGATCTTGACTCATTCACCCCTGAAGACACATTTGAACTGTTCTAGTTCAAAGGTTTGAATTGTTCATTATGATATTTCAGGGGTGAATGAGTAAATAAAGCTTCTTAGTGTGTGAAAATAAAGCATTAATGTCACACTCATTATTATATAAAAGAAGAGTTGACATACCTGGGACTTGAATGAATCATTATTATTTTTCATGTATTGAGTTGTATTTTATCTAAAGAAAGTGTTGTCATTTTGTTCATCAATTGTTTATTTTATTCCAAAATATGGAAAGCGAATATTTGATTAGTGTTTCTGTTTCAATTCATAATGTGATGAGAAAATACGTTCTTTATTATTAAGAGATACTGTTATCACATTGCTGAATGCTATATATTTGCTTAAATACTTTTTATTGCCTTTTTCGCCCTCATTACAAAGGGCGAAAAGGGCAAAAATTAAACTGCAGCAACATTTTTCCAGTAATTCGTTATTACAGCAAACCTTAATAAACAACATAATACATGCAGTTTAGTGTGAAAGGTGAAATAAAAACTGGACGAGTATGGAAAGGGCAAATAAAAGTTTGACTGGGCGAAAATTTCCCTTAGCACATTAGTCTTATTCACACAAAATATCAACACTGATTTTGTGTCTTAAAATTATAACTGCAATAAATTTTGTACACAGAATTGACATACACTGATGTCAGCACTAAAATTTAAGTAACATTTTCTTGTTGAAAATTGATTGACACATTATGTCTGTGCCTAAATACAGCACTAATATATACATTGTATATAAATATATACATTTATTACGTTTTATGGCCCCTTGATTAAAGAAAAACGTCATTATCTGCAGTTTCCGCTTAATAACTCTAGCAAATATTAGCCGAATTCCAACAAACTTGATAACAATGTTTCTGTTCTTCTGTCTTTCCACACATCTAGGGCACTCTAGTTTTCGTGTGATAATTTCAACCAAATTCCTTATGCACATCCAACTCATGCTAAGTTTGCCAACTGATGTGATTTGTAATGTGCATATTTATGGATAATCAATGAGGTATAAGTTTTTTTGTTTTTTCAAGTTTCAAGCTATACATTATGTCTCAACAGCACGATACTCACATGTTTAAACGTAACCTCAATAATGTTAACCTACAATATGTCCTGCAAGTCGGGGATATAAATTCCACAAATTTGCTTGTTTTTTATGTATTAAAATGTTGAAGTTGAAATTACCTCTATTTAGAAAATGACATTATACCAATTAAGTTTTGTTATAAAAATGGTATATTGTATTGGTACATGTTTATCATAGAGTGTGATATTTTAGTGGAATTTTTAAGTATATTTGTCCTCTGTGAAGTTTAAATATGTTGTAGTGTAATACATACAGACCAAGTTACATGTTGCTTGATGTCTGTTGGCAATGAGAAAGTGCATTAATGGCAATGAGAAAGTGCATTAATGGCAATGAGAAAGTGCATTAATGGCAATGAGAAAGTGCATTTAATGCACAGCATTGATACAAAAACGTTTGTTATTCCCGTGTTGATACCAAGCAGTTGTCAGAAATATGAGCAATTCATATTTTTTTTATATTTATGTTCCACTAATTAAAGAAATGGAGTAATGTTCCCCTATTGTGCCTTTGTTAAATGATTGATTATGATTAATATGGTTTGCATTTTTTTTTTTAAATATGTACGCTTTTTTTGATGATTTTTTGTTAAGTAGCAATAAAATACAAGATAAAAACAGCAGTTATTTAGATACATATACTGGTTTTATCTTTGTTACATATATTGTTATCATATCCAGCACTGTCACACAGGCAGTGGGATGTCTGTTGTACTAGTTATCACAGGGGCCTGATAACATCACTCAATGTGCTATCTGTTGTATTGATTATCACAGGGGTGTGATAACATCACTTTGGGCTAAAAAAAATGTATTATCACAGGGGCCTGTGATAACAAATGTCACTCAGTGGGCTGTCTGTTTTACTAGTTATCACAGGGTTATGATAATATGATATCACTAAGTGGGCTGTCATATTAATTATCATTGTTGAGGGAGGGGGACTGATTAATAGAATCGTCCCTGAGGGGTAGGTAGGGGAAGATTGTTTTCCTCGGCTCCCATCCTGTTTTACTCACAAATCCGCCAACATTACCCTGGTACATGTACATTGCATGTTTTTCCAAGCAAATCCAGAGTTGTCTTCCATGGTCTGCTACTGTTGACGTGACGTCAATGCATTGATGACACCACGTCATACTATTGTTATGACTTGGACCGGGTTGTTCTGTACGAGGCTATCTCCCCATAGAGGGTGACAAGCAAAGGGAGACACACCTGTGAAGGGTGGGAGAAAATACAATGCCTTTTAATGGGTTGTCTCCTTTACTTAATATCACAGGAGCCAATCACAGGGGCCAGCTGAGGAGGTGATGATATTTACTTTTTGAAAACTGACCTCTCCACGTTACGTCACGGAAGCCAATAGTTAATAAATTATGTATTTAGTTGTAAGTCACACTGACTAGAAATGTGGATGACATTTCAAGAATATTTAAATCACAAATATGTTACCCTTTAAAATAGGCCTCAGATTGTAACATGTATGTTATAACTATATTCAAGTGGGGTGCAACTTTATGAATATTTGTATAAGGCACCATCCGGCTAGTTAAAGTTGTTTCATCTTTGTTTTTGGTCAGCTTATTATCTTTTTAAATTTAAGAGAAACATTTAAATATTTGTCAGCCATAAAAAATAAATTTGTGCATGTCTTGACCACATTCATAAAGAAGTTTGTTTCTACCAAATACTTGTGAATGACACGATGTGAAAAGCCCAATAGCACTGGTCATTTGCTTCTTTTTCATTCAAAGGAAACTCTTTTACATAAGTAGGTTTATGCTCAAACCGACAGTTTTTGAATACAGTGTCTTAAATAACTCCAACAAAGAACACTGACCAAAGTTCCTTGCCATAAAATACTCTAGGGTTGTTTTGAAATCTTATTTTGGGGGGCAAAAAAAACCTTCACTCCATAATGATAATAATATGGTAAGCTATATATTTGCCTGTACTGTACACAGTCTCAGGGCCAAACACTATGCCTACAAAATGTTGTTTGTTGTTGATGTGTTTTTACTTGTCATTGAATCCAATAAAACGTGACAGTATGATCAAGACTTGCTTTTTGTGAATGTGGTAGATTTCTAGCTTTAGAGTCGTTAACCCTGTAATGATGTAAGGTGAGTCTTCTGGAAACGAATCATGCGTCTGTGTAAAATACTATGTAACTATGTAAAATAATTATCTGAAATCATCCAGAGGATATGTTGCACCATGGCATTTCTTTTGATGAGAATGTAAACTGTCAAAAGTCCCAGATAAATAAATCGGCAATCACAGATCATACCACACGGCAAATTAACGTCATTGACTGGGAAAACTAAAAACTGTTGGACTGAGGAACACCTTAGCCAGAAGATAAAGGAAGTACTTGACATGCCGCTGTTCTGAACCGAGATGAGGGGACCGACATAGATACTTGCACATTAATAACTGGACATCAAACAAAGCCTAACCAAACTGCATGGTTGGTCAAATTTGTTGTAATTTCAAACCGTAAGAGCAACTAATACATGTATAGGGTAGTCGAATCAACAATTGTATTGCCAATTTGTACATATTCTACACCTTGCGTATCATTTGTCAGATGAAAGTATTTGTGGAAGTCGTTCAAACTGATTTTTGTGCTCAAGCCAAATTTCTTGTCACCATGGTAGATTAATAACCAAGTCACATTTTGTCAACAACATGGAATCATTTTGGTGAGACTTTACACTTAACTTTTTTTTTAATTTGTTAAAGGATTATAGCAAGTTACAAGAAGGTTGGTTTGAGCACAGAATTCAACATGAGAACAGTTTCATGATACGGGCTTTGGTATCAATCTTACACCAGTAACCTTTAAGTAGACCAAGGGTGAACACATTAAAATGGGCTTAATCAAGTAAGTCAAATATCACCATCACGGGCCTTTAGATTATCAAGAAGATGATTTGATTCCTGTGACCTTGAGAGTTGGTTAAGATTATTCATTTGAGCAAATATTGTAGCCCTTCATCCCAGCATGCCTTTGGCAAAATATAATCACCCTGGGCCTTTTGGTCATTCAGGAAATGTTATTTGAAGATTTCATTTTAAACATTTGACCCGAGTGACCTTGAAAGTAGATCAAAATCAATTGTGCAAACAAACTTTGTAGCCCTTCATCCCAGCAAGCTTCGGCCAAGTATCATCACCCTGGGTCTTTTGGTTACCAGAAGTTGTTTGAAGATTTCTGAAAGATCTGATCTCAGAGACCTTGAAAGTGGGTCAAAGTCAATCACTTAAACAAAATTTGTAGCCCATCATCCCAGTATTCTACTGAGCAAATCTGATCACCATGGGCCTTTTGGTTATTGAGAAGAAATTGTTTAAAGATTTTAACATATCTGACCCCTGTGACCTTGAATGCAAGTCAAGGTCAATTGTTTAAAAAAACTTTGTTGCTCTTTTTCCATGCATGCTTGTTACCAAATATTGTCACCTGAAAGTCTTCTGGTTATTTTGAAGAAGTTGTTTAAAGACATATGAAATATTTGACCCAAGTGACCTTGAAATTGGGTCTAGGTCAATCTATTGAACAAACTTTGTAACTCTCCAGCTAAAATATTACCTTTTGAATTGGTACTTTCTTACTTCATATTCTTGTTAATTATTTCAAATGGTGTATTTTTTTTTAGCTCACTATCATCAGATGGTTGGCTATTCAAATCGCCCGTCGTTGTGTTGGGATAAACAAAATGGCTGATACATGGCCTGGATCTTGGATTTTGACAGTTAATGTTTGTTATTGCAATTTCTCATAAAGTACCGGATGTATCTTTCTCAACTTTGATATGTAGGTTGTTAAATTTTGAGAGTGATCATAATAAACAAGGCGGCTGCAGGAAGTGCCTAACAGGTCTTTCTCATATTGCAATGACCGGATATATTTCTTTCACATTAAGTACTGTATATATATAGCTAGCTTATGTGTGAAATGACAAACTTACTTTAAAGTTTGTCTTTTATACACAGCAGTATGAAGTCCAGATATAAAATTATCTCAATGTGCATTTACAGTTTACATTACTCAATCAAACAGTTAAAAAAAGAAGAAGACAGAAGATCGACCTGACCTAGAACTAATGAAGATATATTGGTACAATGATGGGATCTCTTGTTCACCTATCTAAATTGCATGTTGGACTAAAATGTATTCAGCAGAATTTTACAAGGTGATCATACTTCATTTTATTCACAGAAAGTAATAATTTTGATGAAAACTGATATTAATACTAATACTGGAAAACCATGGCACACCTGCTAATTGAATTGTCATACCGGGTAAATGAAACAAAAAACCAACACAGGAATCGTCTTTCTCATTAACCCAGAATGAGAGGTTGTCAAATTACTCCTCATGTATATATGTGCAACTCACATTAAGTTGCCCTTCTCATAATCAGAAACACTACATTTTACATTTTTGTTTTACACTTGACATATTTTTCCTGTGTGTTGTGTGGTTACCATGAACTGAAAATGCTGTTTGTTTCTAAATATATTCATTAAATATTGCTAGAAAAACATATTACTTTTGACATTTATTGAAATGTCATTGGTGTGGACTTCTAAGCAATCATACATATCAATACCATGCTATTTTCGTTGTACAATGTACATACCAGATGCATTGGTATCGTAAACAGTCATTTAAATCGTAATTACCATGATGACCAGGGTACAAGACACCTTTGACCCCGTCACCACAGTAGACCATTATGGACTTATCCAAATCAATGCATGGGAGAATCTACTAAAGTTGCATAGGGTGAAAGGGTTAATATTTGACAAAAATAACTCCGGAGAACCCACAAAAATATCTAGAATTTCCAAGGGGGATAACTTTTAACATTGCTTATACAATTTATCTTGACATAACTTCAGTTTGGGATTTTGTTTTCATCGTTTTTAGTAACAAGAAAATAAACAGTTCATCAAATTCAAATGAACAAAATATAACCAATTGCATTGTAAATAAATTTGTCAGATTACACGAGGAGTGTGTCTTCTATAAGATTCTTGTAAGGGGTTGTCTTGACAAGGACTAAGATATTTTTTGAATGATTCTTTTAATCTTGCACTGTCAGCTTTAAATATAAGCTGAGTATAAATATCACAATTTGCCTAAATTCTGGTACTCCCAGGAATATTTATTATGAACAACAATATTTGTAAATATCATTGAAATACACATGTATATCATACTTGCCAACTCTCCCGATTTAGACATCCCTAATGTCGAGGTTGAATATGCCATCTAGCTCGTAAGAGTCACTGTCTAAGTCATGAGTAAGAATCCATGTTACCTCATGAAGATAATGTCATGACACCTCGGAACTCAGTCCTAGGTCATTTAAATAGAAGCATCAGTTTTTGTTGACACATAAATGTACAAAAATAAAAAGGATACTATATATACCATCAATTACTATCAATATGTAAATGTCTATAATTAGAATGTAGTAAAATGATAACAAACTGATGTAAACTATTGACAATATAACATCCAGACAGAGCATTGGAGAGTATTTTCAAAGTAGCCTCCCTTGTGATATAATTCAAAGTGAAAACAGTGAAAACTCCATCATGAAATTGTGTGTTGTGAGATTCACATAGCTGTAAACTCTCCCTCGTGAGGAGGGAGACTTCCTTATTTTGACCCCCCTCAAATCTCCCTCATTCAAGTCCAACTAGCACAAACTCAAAATCTACATCCTGTGGTCAAATGATCTCCTAGTTACTGCAGGGTGTGTGTAATGCTCATAGCAGGACTAGTACTGTGTCTGAATCGAATGAATGATTTTTGGAGTTATTTTGCTACATGAAAGTCAAAGATAAATTGAGCAAAGCACTTTCATTTGCATTTCACACACTAGAATAGATCTACCTCGTTGGAGGTTTCATGGGTTATGACACCTATGGATTCAATGAATAGATAAAATAAATAAAATCAGTGAATAAATCCACAAATGTAGTTATATTATTTATGTGAAAGTGAAGTGTGAAAAACTATATTCATAATAAATTAAGTTACCTAATATCATATTTAGATTGTGCTCTACAATAATCTTCACAAACATGAAAATAAAGTAAGATTAAATTAACAGTCAAATATTTAAAAAAAATAAAAAAATCTTAACAAATATTTCTACAATAAACAAGAGGCCCATGGGCCTTAACGGTCACCTGAGTCTATAGTATTTATTTTTGTTGTTGAAATATGTACCAATTTGAGTAAAAAATAGTATAATGTTAACTTAACTNGAAATAAAGAGGCAGTCTCTAAGTCAATCAATGACTTTTTCATATAAAGATTCCAATCTAAGAGAGACAACAAGAACTTGAAGTTTCTTTTTTGTTCCGACGACTCTGAAAATCTTCACCACTTGAGGATTCGTCGAGACATTCAGTTGTCTTTTTATCTGAACTTGCTCTGGCCGTAGCCTCATCCTCACTATCATTTGCAAGTTGATGGTCACCCATTGGTATGTTTTTTCCATCTAGGTTTACAACTTCAACAAGACCATCCTCTCCACAGGTGTGCTCTACATGTGAACCTCTGCTAACCTTCATATTCTTGTAGAGATAGTGGACCTCATGCTTCCCACCCTCTTTCAGGTCGGTCACTAGTGTCCGTGGCAACACATCCGCAATTGTTGTAATTTTTTTCTTTGGATAAAGTTTCTGCACCTGATGCAGACATATTTCCTTCAGTGAATATACTGTAATGTAAAAATGACATATAGGTTTTTAGTCTAAATAATTATATACTTATACAATGTAATTTTATATAATGCTCCAACAAATAATAAATCAGTCATTCTATACAAACAATTAAAATGCTATTATTTTATTTTATTATTATTAAATAGCTTAATTATTTTCAATAGCATTTAATTTAAGAATTAAATTATAACTACATTTAGCATTGATATTAGTTTGTGAAACCACAGAATTAGCTATCTTTAAGTCTGTGGTAAAACTGATAAATATGTTGTACATATATGACAAAGGCCAATCTCATTGATTAAGGCTACCACTCAAGAATTCAACAATTTGTTTCAGTATGGGTCAGTATAATGTATGTGTATTTTAGCCATTTGTACCAAACCCTGTTGTCAGCCTGTGGAAAGTTCCACAAGATTTGGGTTTCATATCAAAAATTTATCTATTGAAGCTAATATTGTCATGTCACAAAAAATATCTGAAATAAGGTCTAAATAAATGCATTGATCAATAAAGTTTATTTTATAAATGTGCATGTGTGTTGAACTTATTTACAGTGAAACAATTAACCAATTCAAAAGTATGTTGGATAAGGCATTTGAGAGACTTGCATGTGAACAAACACAAGAAAAGTGGAGAGAGAGAAACAAAAAAGAATGCGGAGAACTTTGTTTACATTGTTATTAATGATAAAGAAATTGAGGATTAAGGGACTTCAAACTACCAACTACAATCAGAGACGTATTTAACACTTAATACGTCTCTGCTACAATGTATAACAATATTAAGATAAAACATTGAGAGAAGGTGCACCTAAACAACTCGAGGAAGATCATGCAGTATTTCAAGGTGGTCAATGTCTACCACAAACTGAATCCATGTCAAAGGTGCTGGACACTCTGATAGGATATGTATATCTACTATCAGTGTGTCCAGCACCAGGTAGGTAGCTATATAGGTAGATTAAACCACAGGGGCACGTTACAAATGTCTGAAATACACACATATGCTATACTGATATGGGTCACAACACAGATAAACATACAGTATGTTTATGTGTGTTGAGACCCATATCAGTATAGCATATGTGTGTATTTCAGACATTTGTAACGTGCCCCTGTGATTAAACTATACAATCAAAGGGACAGAATCCCATGTTACATCTTGTACCTATAGCCGTTATTAGTTTTGTGTACAGTGCATGTCTCATTCATACGTACATGGTAAATCAATGTATGCCAGTGGATATTCTTTTTTTTCATCGTCGTTATCATCATCACCGTGTACTGGAGATTGTGGATAATACACAGACTGGCCCCCAATATTTAAAACGTTCCCTGTTGTAGCATCACGAGCGCCCCACGGGTGGGTCACGTACGTGTGCATGTCCATAAAATCATTGTTATGTAAAATGGCATATTTTACAAACACTCCTTTGAAATTGTACCACAATAATGATGCTGTCCTTCCACTTCTATTTGCGAATTGCACATTGACACAGACATCATTATTGAGGGACCTGATTTTTGAAGAATATTCTTCCGAGTCGGAGGACCGGGAGTTCGACTCCGCCATGATTATTGTTGGATCGCAGTCACATTCCAAGTCACGAGATTTGACACATATTTATTTTTACTTGCAAAAAAAAGCCATTAAAACATGTTATGGACAGTACTGTATTTATTGTTATAGTATATATGTAAAGTGGTTTAATGCTACAGTGCAGCACACTGGCTAAGTTACGTCATATACCCGCTATGTTAACTTCAGACGAAAACGAAAATAGAAGCTAATGATATAAGCGACACCATAATGCTACCGATGGTGGCGATTTGTTTTCATTGAACCAAATGAAATATTTCTTTAGGTGAAAAGTATCATTAAGTTGAAAATTTTACCTAGTAAATAGAGTTTAACCACAAAAAGTAATGCCCTTGGTCGGCGCGTCTAATTACCCAATACTACCCAATACCACCCAATACTACCCAATACCACCCAATAC